ACTTTTTTTAACTTTCCTAATACTTTTTAAAAAGAGTTAATAACTTTATTTGTTAATTTTTATTTTTTATACTTTTTAAAAAAAATGTTTTTCTAAACATGACCTCCATGTCATGAGGCTAGGTTAAAAACAAGATGTAAAATTTATAATTTCATATATTGTTACTCATAAGAAAGTAAGTAAAATCAAAATGGAACTAATTTTTTTCGAAAAATATCGTTCTAAGTACCCAATCATAAAAATTATTTTAACAATTAATGTTAAAAGCTTAATAAATGCATATATTTTGACTTCTCTAATTTTACGAATTTTTTCTTGAATTTTGAACCGGTTAACTCCCAGCGTCATATATTTAGGACAGTTCCTGTTTTCAAAGACATTCATTGTGGTGGGAAACTCTTTTCAGTATTTTCATTTATCTGGGTGAATTAAAAGATTCTCAGATACCACAATGAATTAGTTATTTCTGATTAGATGTAGAATTATAAGAAGCAAGTACTTNATTTCAATAAATAAATTCGGGACAAAACGGGTTAAAGGGATAGCAAAGGCAGAGATGTCAACTTGCTCCACTTTGTAAAAAAATATTTTTTAGTGGTAACAAAATTTAAGTTATTTTTAGTTAAGCAATTTTTAATTCTCCACCACTACATATCAAAAATTGAAAGTATGACAGATGCAACTTTATTGTAATTATCCGTTTTGACATGTTTAAAGAGGGGGCGTAATTATTCTATAATTATAGAGAATAATTATAAACCTATAATTATTCTCTATAGGTTTCAGAGACGCCATCTACTCCGGACGCGCTATAATAATTTAATAAACGGTAAACAACTGCAACAAATGTTTGCAAATATTTACATTATTTTGCTTACTTTTATAACGGTGTTGCATGACTGAACTGTCTCTTTCTTTCTTTCTTTAACTAAAACTGGGTGCCTGGGCCGCGCAGCAGCCCCTAACCCATTCATCATGAAGTATTTACAAGTTGAATTAAAAAACATTTTGAATTATGCAGCATTTAGGTAGCAGACTGAACTGTGCCAAAGTGGCGAATTATATAAACCTTTGAATTATTTAGAAATAGCGGTGGATAAGAACCTAATAAATTGGAATTTATTAAATTAAGAATCACACATTAATAACTACCACTAGAAAATATTTATTTGCTGTCCGGAGCAAGTTGATATCTCTGAAGTTTTACTATTTAATTCGCTACCGATTTATTACCGAGCAGTTGGCATCCCTGAAAATGTTCCTCTTTTTGCATTAAATGGTAGTCAAAAAAAAATTTTAAAAAAATGTATAAGATTTATTGCTATTTTAAATCTAAAAATGAAATACTAGGGACAACCCATAGTTGTTGGCAGCTATGCCATGTATTTCTTTTTTGGAAAAATAAAGTTGATTTATAATGAATTGCCCACTACGATACATAAAATATATAAAACCTAATAATTTTAAGATGATGTTTTTAAGTGCGGACAAACTTTAACAAACGTAGCTAATTTATTTGTTATTACTCTGTAATTTAAATATTACAAGAATCTACAAATTCCACCCCAGGAAAAATATAAATATTTTAACTGAGTTCATGTAGTCTTAGGAAAACTTAAATAATGGTAACGAAAATAATACGAAATTCTATCATTTTATAAATTTGTGACCTCCACTATATGTAATTTTGTAAAGAAAATATGTGTGTGTAAGAACTATGACTTAAAACACTTATAAACGTTAAAATGTCATCTTAAAGAAATTTCTGTGAGCAATAAAATAAATTTACTATTTCTAAAAGGAGGGGGACTCTGTTGATATTGACATGTCCAAATTAGTCCTTTGGAGCAGTTAGTTCATTTAAATTCATTAGTTGTTAATTAAGAAACGGCATAGGACCATAAAAACATAAAATAAAATTTCATTAATATTATTAAATTTAATAGTCCTATAAAATGTGACTATTAAAATAAGCAATAGGCACATTCAATCACAATATAATATTGTTAAATAAGACGTAAAAATTAATTTGGAGTTGTAATTAGAGTAATAATCAAGAAGTTACACTTTTCCACAACATTTTTTTTTAAAATTTTCTAATTAAAAATAAATAATTCTGTTTCGTAACTTCACATGAAAGTTCAACACAATTTTTCTAGTCAGCCCAAATTTACAGAGAATTTTTGAAATATAAATAACAGGAGTATTCCATTTGTCTACACACCCTTAAGTTTTATTTAAGATTAGCATATAACGTTGTTATGATGGATAATTTAATCCTGATTCGTCAGCTTTACTCAAAGTAACATGCAGTGTTTATATAGCATATATGTTTGAAATATATACAATTTTAATTTCTAAGTTTCACTTAAAAGTAACAAATAGAGTTTATATAAATTAGTATAGTTTAATAATTTTCTTTTAGTTTTACTTAAAAATATCTTCCACAGTTTATAAAATATATATTTAAATCATTCAATCCCCTACCCTTTAATTATATGTAATNAATGTATATATATAATTAAGTTTATAATATGTATTTACATAGTATATGTGCTATGTATTTACAAAGTATATGTAATATGCATTTACATAGCATAAGTAATATGCATTTACATAGTATATGCAATATGTATTTGTAATATTTTCTAGTATGGTATTGTATTTCTATAATTTAATCCCTTATATATTAGTATATTAAATTATAATAGTACATAAATTAGTATATATAATTATATTAGTATATAAATTAGCATATAGTGTTTATTTAATTTATATTTGCATGACAAAATTAAATGTTTAAAAATAACTAAATAAATCATAAAACTGTATCATGTATCATGAAAACTGTATCAGTATTATTTAAAAAGAAATAAAGTGCAAATAATATCTTACCTGATATATTTTGTAAAATAAATTTGAGTCGATGCCGAAACTGTAAGTATGAAAACTAGATTAAAATCATTCTATAAGATAAACTAAAGAAGACTTCCTTTATCGAATCTCTAAAGAAGTGTGCGCTTTGTAAAGCAATGTTAGTGGCTGTTTTGTCACTGACGCAATCAATACGCAATCGTTTTTCATTGGAGCATTTTTAAATTAAATATAATATTGTTATAACTCCTCTCGAATGAATGACGAAAATTAAATATGAGTTTGTGGTTCTCACGATACTTTAATAGCGATTATTTTTAAAGATTAATTTCTTATAAGAAAAATTAGTCCTTATTTTCAGACATACAGTCGAACAGTTTTTTTACGTGAATTTCTTTCAACGTCAAATAATTTTCGACTCCCCTTCAAATTGTATATAAACATAGTGTTTCGCCTTCCCTTAAAATTATATTACTAATATAACGTTTTGACTCCCCTTCAAATTGTATACTATAGACATTGTATACTACAGGATGATATCCTACAGGGATTGCATACTACAGCGGAGCAGTGGGCAAACTGCATTACTTTTTGCAAAAGTTTCAATAAAACTTTAAAATAAGGATAATTATGCCTACTCTTTAAAAGTGTCGAAACGAGATAACTGTAAAAAAATTGCATACTTTGTATTTTCCATATGCAGTGGTTTTGTATTTTCCATATGCAAAAAAGTTTTTTTCCACACCATATCATCCAAATTTGTTTTCACTAGTTCATAATTAAATTAAAATTGAAAAAAATCATTTCTAATAAAGTGACCCCTTTATTTCAATCTTTTCTTAAAGGTTTAGAGATAATACAGAAAATTACTAAAATGTGGAAAACATGTAAAAAGATGTGAAGAATTTTTTTAAGAAAAAGAAAAAAAAGTTCTTAAAAAGAATTCAAATTTTTTAAAAAAAAAACAACAGAAAAACAGAATAAGGAAAATATTTAATCTCATCATCAGCTCACACAATTACATCCGCAAAAAGTGCTTTCTAATATCGTATTAATATAGCTAAAGCAAAATATAAAAATACAATCGTGTGAGGAGCACCAAAAACTGCAACGAAAATCGAACGTAAAACTCAAAAAAATGTAAAATAAAGCAAAAAATGCAAAATAAAATGATCAAGCAAAAAATAGAAAATGAAAAATCAAGAAAGCGCAGAATAAAACACAAAATGTAATATATAAAATGAGTAGCGAATTCAAATGTATTTACACTTACCAGCATTTTTCAAAAAATGCAAAATAAAATGCTCAAAATTTGTGTTTAAGAAATTAAGAAAATTTACACATTCAATGGACGTTTTCAAATGAAAATTGTTTTTTTAGTTCCTCACAGAATACGCATAATAAATAAATACGTAAAGAGATGTCGTCCATTTGCTTAAATTACTTTGCAATAGTGTTTGGGGAAGTATTCCCAATTTTAAAAATATGATCCGATTTGTTCAGTTTAGAAATAGCTTGAAGAAAAAAAATTTTTTTTTTGTCTTATTTCTTAAACTTTTCAAAAATTCTTGCACTCACTTATAAAACTTATTTTCTTATATTATTTAAGTTAAAAAATAATATTAATAATTATTTATTAAGTTTCTTTAGTTGATTTAATGAAAGTTGAAGTGTAAGGCTGAAAACTTTTCCACCATTTTAAACTAGGTAATTTTAATTCACAAAAATCTAAATTTGAAAGAATCGGTTGAATCGTAGAATCAAAATCAATAGAATCCAAAATACAAAGTTGAATACCCAATTTTTGATATTTTTATTTTACTATTATTGTTATTATTACTTTGTAATTCAAAAACTATTTAACTAATTTCAGTCGCGCTTCGTATGTTTTTATTTAAAATTAGAAAGCTTGAAATGGTGTAAAAATTAGCATGTCTTGCAATTTAAATTTTTCTCGATTCATTCGATTTTTTTCGATTCGATTATTGTTGGGTTATTGCGAGTATTTCTTTGAAATTTATAATCGCTTTTGAAATTCAATTATTCTTTTCATTATTGCACAAGTAAAGTAAATACAAGTAACACAAAATGCAATGTGTCAAAACAGAGAGAATTAAGACAAAACATTAAAGCGAAATGATTTTTTATTTGAATCGTATGACAAATATGGAATCAAAGAATACACGATGAATGTTGAATTCTCTGCAAAAGCTATGAATCATATGTAAAAAACTATGAAAATATGAATAAATTTTAAGAATTATTTACAATTCGAAAAACAATTTTTATCAAATATTTAAAATCATTGGATCAAAACCCGTAATGCGTTCTCCTAAATTATTGAGCATTATTAAAAAATTGAAAATGATACATGCATATTGTTAAATGCCTTTTTCAGTTCTTTTTGAACGACCATATAAATTTTATCAGAAATTACAGAAGGTATATTCAAGAAAGTGAATTTTTTTTCTTTTGAAGTATTTAAATATTGTAATAGTCAGTAAAAAGCTTTAAATTTCTTTCTTTTTTTGTTGCTTCAAATAGATAATAATACATTACATATAAAGGGCTGAAGCTCATAGATGGGACAATATTTTTGCAATAATATAAATTTAATTCGCTTTATTAATTAAAAAATTATAAAAAAAATCAGTTCTTAGCATTGTTTCCTTCTAAGTACCTTATAATATTGCTGAGTGTTTTCTAACTGACATGAATCAACTAAATATATAGAAACAGCCTATTGTCTGAAGACAACTTTTTTTGAACAATTAAAATTCGGGTCCTTACATTATATTGTGCCAAACTCTTAATATAGTTTGATAAAAAAAACTTTTTAGCTTTTTTTTATAATTACCAACTATAAATTACGAAATTTTTACTTTCTCATGCTCAGTAAACTATAAATTATTTTTTTCATACTCGGTAAATTTTTGAATTGAGGACTTTTCTTATCATGCTTGTTTAACTATAAAAGTTGGGATACTTTGTAAACAATTAAATTAGGACTATTTTTTATCATACTCAATAAACTATAAAATTTAGGCCTTTCTAATTTTCTATACTCCGTAAACTATTTAGTTTTCATTGAGGACTTTTCTATCATACATGGTAAACTATAAGTGTGGGCTTTTTTATTATGCTCAGTAATCTATAATTAGGGATACTTTTATCATGCTCGGTAAACTATAAAATTGAAGACTTTCTTATCATACTCGGTGAACTATGAAATTAAGCGTTTCTTATTTAATCATACAATAACAGTATAACAATAAAGGGCAACAACAATTATAAAGGACGTTTTTATTTATCATAATCGGTAAACTATAAAATAAGGACAATTTATTTTATCATGCCTGGTAAATCATAAAATTGAGAAATATTTTTCTATCATGCTCGGTAAACTGTACAACGTTGGATTTCTATTTTATACTATTTTGTAAATTGCAAAATTAAGGTCGCTTCTTAAATATAACTGTTAAATTGAAAAAAAAAGAATATTCATATCATATACATATAAATTATAATGAATTTTCTTTAATATGTTTGGAAATTTAGGTAGCATAGCAAATTAGGTTACGACTTTTGATCCCACAAAGGAAGAATTTAATTTGAAATAGAAACACCACTTTGAGCCATTTTCGTGACAGTTTGGTCAATGTTTTCAACTTTAGTCACAAGGTATGTTAAAAAATTTTCAATTTGGTTTAGTTTACTATCTGCATCAGCCCAAGATTTTGCTAATTGTTGCTCAGATGCGCATCTTTTAATTGTAGACCATTGTAGAACAAATTCATCAATGTCCAACTGTGATGCAGTTTCTTCATCATCTTCGTTGGTTTTTTCATCTTGATTGGAAAAATTTTGAACCTTAAATTTGGGTGTCAAAAACTCTTTTGATTTTAAGATCCTACCGGATTTAGAGCTACGTTTTGGAGTTTTTCCATTTTGTAGCTGGTGCATTTTCTTCACCAAATCTCTTAAATAGGTTATTCTGAAAAATACAAAATAACAAAAACTTTTATAATAGTTAGAGTTTTATTTCTTATTTATGACACTGGGGAACAAATTTTTAGTTCATTTATACAAGTACTTGATCTTACCTAATTCGAGCGTAGGGATTTCAAACCTAAAATTATTTTTGCTCCGAAAGGTACAAATATTTTCAAAATTGCAAATTTAATTAGTTTATTTTTTGACTGACTGTTTAAGTCTATAAAGAGCGTATATGTTTAAATGGATATCTATACACTTAACAGCTGTTTTGAAAATAAAACTTAAAACAATAGCCAAATGATCATAACGTATCGCATTATAAACTCAAATGTATTATCATCTTCTTCTTACTACGCCCCACGTACCAGAGAAGTAGGGATACATAGTAGTCACTCAGGTGAATTTTAGAGCATTTTGCTTTAGATTATGTTATCAAATTACTTAAAAACTGTAGCTTGTAGAAATAAACCAATTGCTAATTTGACGCGAAAGCATTTAAGATCTATTAAAAAATCTCGTGTAGCAGAAATTTTTTTTCTCCCTAATGTAGTCTATATAATGAGAAGAGAAATTAACGACACAAGTAGTAAATGCAAACTGTTCCATGATTCGTATGCCATAATGCTTATTTTCAGAACCTTCGTCAGAAATGAGGATAAATTACAATGGTATCACAAATTAATATTTAGGCACGAAGGAAATTCTTTTTTAAAAAATAAATACCGAGAAAGAAGATATTCAAAACATTAAAACCTTAAGAAGAGTTTTTGTTTGTAGACTAAATATTAATTTGCAACTCTCAATGTCTACTACTTTTTCCTCATTTGTGACAAGGCTTCTAAAAACATATATTAATCGCTTTATCAGAAAACACAAGTCGTGATGGCACTGCGGGTATAGCACTGAGCTGCGATTGAGTATGGCCAATACCTCCTAGAAAAGAGAAGGCCTCAGCATGGATTACCATAAATGAAAATTTGATCCTTTAGTAGTCCGAACGCAATGACATCTTTCGTATTTACCGCCACTGCGCACCTTAGTAGGCCGAACTTAGTGACATTTTTCGTAATTTTCATTCACTGCACAATTTATGTTCGTATCGTCGTACTACTAAATTGATCCGTGCTCAGGCCTTCTTTCTTCTAGGAGGTGTTGGCTGGACTGGGGATTGCTCTCTGGTGGAAACTTTAAACTCACCCAGCTTCAGTTCGATGGGTGCTAGATTGCTTGTGAAATCGAAGCGGGTGGTGTATATTGTTGACCAGATTGCCGTTTGTTGCGTAATTTCAGACACTTAAATTTCACGAATGTTTGGCTCACAACATGCTAGGCTGTTACCATTGTTTTCCAAAAACAAAAACAGTTTCAAAATGTTTCCCATACTCTATACCATTATAAAATATAGAAAAACAATTTCCCCCTTTTACTCCCTGGTGTACGGAAACTTGCGCGTTTTGGAAGCGTTTATGAAATAATTTTCTTCAAATTTTTAAATTTTTTTTTAACGTCAGTTACTGAACTTATCGTTCTTCGAAATGGAGGTGTTGCTCATTTTGCGTTGCCTGGTGAGCATCTTGTGACCATCGTGATGGAGGCGAGCAACATTACTCACGCCACACTATCACAGATACCTGCTCACAGGGTGAGCCACATTCACATATCACACACAACAGAGGACAAAACACAGAGAGAAACATCCGTGCCCTGAGCAGGATTCAAACCTGCAGCCATTGGCTTCGCAGTCAGGTACACAAACCGCTCGGCTACCTAAACGGTGCTCTCATTTTTAAAAATTGCAAGAATGAAATATTTCTGCCTATAGTTACGAGCTAAGCTACCTTTAGTTCATTTAAAATCAACAGCTGTAGAAAATACTTCAACAGCAAAAATTGTAAACAGAACTTCTTTTCCTTTTGATACACCTCTTACACATCCATAACTTTTTGGAAAAAGTTTATGTTCTACACTTCAAATTACTGATAATAACAGGATTTAAAGTCAAAAACTTCGAATGTTTTCAAAGTGTTTCTTGATGAGTTTTCCCCATAAGGTCTTTAATTAACTAACGTCTCATTCCTTCGCAGGTTTACTGCTCTCCTGGTGTTTGAACCCCAGTTTCACGGGTTCGACATCATACTTCATCCTCTTAGGCCTATACCTTTCCATCCAACTAATACGGATTTTCCGTAAGACATTTTCTCTAGCGGCATCAAATGTAGTGTTTACTAATATTTTAATGAATTAAATTTAAAAGAAAAATGTTCACTACTCTTTATAATTAATTTAAGCAGATGTGATGATGGTTAGTAGGAAAAATGTTGTGCTCTGATAAAAGTCTCATTAAAATTCTATTTATTTTAAGGATATTTTTAAAAGGCGTTGTCGTAATACGAAATGATGCTTTGTCCGAATAATATGCTATTTTGATAACTGGTGTGAGTTTGAAACTGTTACTCACGACTGTTAGGTCAAATTTAGCTAATCTAAAGTCAGCGCTCTCTACGTTTGTTTTGAAAATGGAGCAACACGTCAATATGGAGAAAAGCCACAGTTTTGTGTAAATGAGAAGCGTTTGTGGTCAAATTATTTAATATCTATAAACGTACTTCAATGCAGGTTACTTAGGTCTATAAAAATTTGCATAAAACTAAGAATACGGCAGTGATTTTGATAATTTTCCTCTAGGTTGAAAAATTTGCATAAAACTAAGAATACGGCAGTGATTTTGATAATTTTTCTCTAGGTTGAAAAATTTGCATAAAACTAAGAATACGGCAGTGATTTTGATAACTTTCCTCTAGGTTGAAAAGTTTTCATAAAACTAAGAATACGGCAGTAATTTTGATAATTTTCCTCTAGGTTGAAAAATTCGCATAAAACTAAGAATACGGCAGTGATTTTGATAATTTTCCTCTAAGTTGAAAAATTTGCATAAAACTAAGAATACGGCAGTGATTTTGATAATTTTCCTCTAGGTTGAAAAATTTACATAAAACTAAGAATACGGCAGTGATTTTGATAATTTTCCACTAGGTTGAAAAATTTCGCCAAATTGGCGATGTTTAAAAAAGTTTAATAACTTTTAAAATATTAAAGTTACTTGTCTGTTCTAAAGCCCAGATTCTTTGCGACTAGATTATATAGTTTAAAATCATCACATTGCTTCAAGTATAAGGCGCTGAAACTATGGCTTTATTATTTTCCTTGGCGACAGAGCATGTCATGATTTCAAATCCAAATTTATGTACTTATATCATAATGTATTGTAGTTTATAGAGCTATCGTTTTTCCTCAAAACAAATTCTAATAATCAAACTTTTGTGTTACCAGTTTTTTTTTTTCGAAAAAAAAAACTCGTGGTTAATGAGTTAACAAACAGGTAAATCACTTACCCCCCGGACTAACAATTTGCTACAATAATGTTGTTGTTACTTGTCCCCCTGGTGTAGGAAAACCTATGTCTAAAATTCAAAAGACCCCATCGCCTTAGAACATCGAAAATCTTCTGCTCAACCATCGCCTCCTTCATTAAAAAGCCTCCGCACGTTTTTTTATAAGTAGTCTGCGCTGGCTAATTTAAAAGTGAACCAGTTGTGCGTATGAACCCAAATTCTATTTTAAAAGTACTTGAGAGAAATTTATCATAGATATTTGAGAATTGAATCTGTAGTGGCTGATAAGTAAATAAGACAAACCAATCATTTTCATAAATTAAACAAATTTTTAGACATATTTTTGCAACCACTTTCTTATTTTTACTGGATTTTCTATTAAATGGCTCTTTCGTAAACTGGTTTACCTTCATAGTGGTCAGATCGGACTACTTATAAGAAATCTTCGTGGAGGCTTTCAGTTATAGGAGGCGTTGGCTCAACCAACAGTTGATTCCAGGAGGCTCCAAAAACAATTAAGAAGGTGAGCAGAAAAAAAAAATATATTTTCTTCAATTTGAAATTTCATGCATTTCAAGTGACAACTTCAGAATTTCGCCTAGGCCAATTGTAGAGTCCTGGGGCCACAGCATGACAGAGGCAAGCCCGGACACTTTGCAGTGTATCAGTTGCAACAATAATAAAACTGCCTTTATGAAAAAAGCGACAATATATTCTTAATTACACCCCCTTAAGATAATCTATAATTTATTTACCTACCAGTTTGTCTTAAATATATAACACACACAAATTTTCAGAATTATTTTCTCCAATGCCCTCTTGTAGGTATTGACATTCTTCATTCGGGTATCAGAATTACAGTGTGCTGACCACTCCTTCTGAAGCACCATTCTAGATGGGCTAACCTTGCCATGACAGTAAGAAGGACAGATAGCACAGAGAGAAAAGAATGAAACAGCATACCTTTGACTGGCAGTCGTACCTGGCACCTTCCTCAGCTCCCTAACCACCATACTTGGTAGTCGGGGAATTCTCAAAATAAAACATAAATTTTAGTTTAGTAGTAAATACTTTAGTAGCTATGGATATGCTGCTTATCCAAGATTAATGTATATAATGAAAAAATATAGTTGCCAGTATTTATTATTTTGAAAAAGGGACGCGCTCTGAAAATTCAACATTGGTGTTTAAACGTTTAAGATAGCGTAAATCTGTAGTGAATCCTCTGCAATAAAACTAGTGAATCCTTTTTAATTAAATTATTAAATCAGTTTTTTTAAATAATCTTTAATCATTAATTTAAATAAATTAATAAATTCTATTTAATTAAATTATTGAATCCGTTTTGAATCCACTTTAACTGAATTAATCAATCCTTTTTGAATCCTAGAATGATGAAGACATGATGAAACTTCTAGAATTTACCTTTGATCAATTTTTGCAGCTTCCAAGGCAACCTCATCAGGATTTCCGATTTTTTTGAGATATTTTGCACGAGCCTCTTTTTCAAATAATCTCAAGTTTCCAACATATACTCGTCTTAAGCGTCTTTGCATTTGACCTAAAATACAAAATATTATAATTATTACCTATCAGAAAAGTGAATACATACAGTTATATTTAAACCAACACAAAATTAATTTAGACGCAACGTAGTTCCCAACATTAACATTTTTCCGACGAGAATTAATTAGCAATTGAGTTAGCAAATGCGGAAAGAAATTGCTCCAATTTCGATGAAACTTAAATTGTACCAAAATGAATTACTAGACTTCAATATATTTCTAATTATTTGCATGTAAAAAGAAGTATAAACCAAAATTTGTGTAAACAAGAATCAAATATTATAATACAAGTTTTGTAACTACTTTAAATACAAAAATAATAGGCTTACTTTTTTATGAAAAACAACTGTACTTTTAAATGAACACCACACTTTTTATTACGCGATTTTCTCACTCTCCACATTTTTTCTCTCCGTTTCCATGGTTTCGGCAAATCTTGATTTTTAACCACGCAAGTAGATTCAAACTTCTTATTAAAACGTACTCCCGTGGGGAAAAAGTAAGATTCACCGAACCCATGGAAATGGAGATGATAAAAATGGGTGAATGCGAAAGCGCATATCCCTGAGATTTCTATTGTATTTGTAAAGACTTATAAATAGAATTGAGAGCTACAAATAGAATTAATAGGGTTCGAAACACTTACATTTTTCATTCATGACATGAAGGCAGCAACAACACTTTAAATATATTTTTCTATATATCTTTAAACATATGTAATATGTTCCACAGAGTAAATCTTCAATTATCAGAAAAGGTGGTGGGAGTGTTGATCTTCGGGAAAATTGAAGTCCGGATACATAAACTTCAAATAAATATATTTCTCTTGAATTTGTATTCACTTCATCAAACACATGTCTAAAAAATCAATTTTGTCGTGAGTGAGTGCAATAAGAAATGAAAATGTTACATTAAATTATTTATTGTGTACTTACGTAAATACAGCGATTAACATATTAACCAGCAAGATATTGCCAATGAGCATATATGCAGCGAGCATAATAGGAACTATCCAAGCATGAGGACTTTGGTGACAAGTTGAGGGGTCTTCATCACAGGTAGGAAATCGGCCTATACAATAGAAAAATGGCTTTAACCGTTACTGCTAATGAATTTTATTAAATATTCAAAGAACAATTTAATGCAACCCCTGTCTAAAAGATCTAAATACAACATTTTGTCTGACTTTATAAAAAAATTGAAGCTACGTCAAAACAAAGCGAATATTTTCACTCATTAGCTACCACAATGAGTTAAAAAAACGCAATTGAATGACTTTAGGTCGACATAAAAATAACATGCTGCACTGGACAAGAATCAAACAATAATTTCAACGATTAAAATGGTTAAATTACAACTAAGATTAAAATAAGTAATTTACCAATAAGACTATACCAATAAGATTATAATCAAGCGGTGACCTCAAATATGCTAATTAATAAGTGCAGGCGACATTTTTAGTTACGGAATCACACAAAAAAACGCACTTTTTCTGAATAAGCATACCTTTTATGGACGGATTCGAATTTCTCAGCCCCAAAATATAAGGGGTATCCATTATTTGGTAATATGTTTGGTCAGAAGAGCTGTTCCAAGTTTGGTCCCCTTACTGTTAATTTTAATTTTTACCGTATTTCAAAAACTGTTAATTTTAATTTTTGCCGCATTTCAAAAACAGAATAGAATTTTTTTTTGCATACAATGATAAAATTCGTTTATCTAAAGATGCAAAACATACAAAATATAACTTTTAGTAAATATTTGTTATTGTTTACCCTTTTATTTAACAGTGGTTGAAAAACATTTGAATGGTGAGGTACAAAATGTTTTGCATCATTTTAAAGAATACCATTTTACAAGGCAAAATACAAAGTTTGAGCAAAATTGATTGAATAGCTCCTGAGAAATCGAATTTTAAATAACTGAAATTTTTAAAATTCAATTTCCCATGAACTATTCTACCAATTCACGAACTTTTCAACCATATAAAACTACATTCTTTAAAATGATTTCCCAGTTCATAAATAAATCAAAAGTTATTCAGTGTGGTCCGTTTTTTTCCCGCTAACTGTATTATTAGTTTCTTTTATTATACCCTCTTGCACAACACCAAGAATGTTAAAATTTACCCTTTTTTTTATCTCTCACCTTTTCTGACATATGAACGCTAGTTTAGCAACGATCACTGTATATATTATCCATTCGCGATCACTACATACTATATATAAAGAACGTGAACTAGAGTATAGAAATAGTATTTTATGCATATTCAAATGTAAAGTATACCTGCCGAGTCTTCATCTAAATCTAATTCTCCAAATAGATGCCAATAAGGAAGTGAAAAAATCTCTGTAATAACATTCCAAAATGGTTGACGTTCACGGTGTAAAAGTGCTACACGGCCAATTCCATAGCACAAAATACAAACAGCAACAATAAGAAAAAATACGATCAGGTCGCCAATCTGAAAGTAAAACAAAATACATCTTTCAATACTGCTGATAGCTTGCACTGATTTTTTTCATACTTTGAATATCGCTAATAGTTTGTTCACAATTTATTGTTGTTTTCTACCCATCTATGCATCTTCTACTAATAAAAACTCGTCATTTCAAAGTGCACGTATGTTTTTAGTTCTGTAGTAAGGAAAATTATATTTTTGATTTAAAATATCTGTTGATTATTATTAAATATTTTTATAATTTGGAGTTTCTCTCCGCTTCAGCTCTATTAAGTTCGAATTCATCGTAATATTCTCTCCGTACTGTGAATATGTTTGATTAAAAAACTAAATTTATTTATGGAATCACTGCATATATGCAATCTAAATTAATTATTCTTCAATATATTTTATCCTAAAAATAACTCTACTAAATCTTGTGTGTATCATATTTTACTATAATTATAAATTTAAGTGTTACTAAATACTTAAAATAGTGGCAGAAACTTTTCGCTAAGAGTGTAAGAGAACACTCTTGGAGTTTTCACTACACCAGGAGTTATCCTTGGTTCTTAGTGTAGTGAACACCAAGGACCAAGAGTTATCATTACACCACTTTGGTGTAAAATATTTGCCCCCCTTTTTAGTGTGAAGATACTTAAAATTTTTTCACAGTGTATTAGTATTCATACTATTTTAAATATAAAAATAATTCTACGAACTCTTGTTTATATCAAATTTTACTATAATTGTAAATTTTAGTGTTAGTAAACACTTAAAATGGTGACAGTTACTTTTTGCTAATAGTGTAGGAGAACACTCTTTGAGTTTTCACTTCACCAGGAATTATCCTTGATTCTTAGTGTAGTAAGTTACCAAGAACCAAGAGTTATCACTACACCACTTTGGTGTAAAATATTTTTCCCCCTTTGTAGTGTGAAGATACTTAATTTTTTCACAGTGTAATAGTATTCATACTATTTTAAATATAAAAATAATTCTACTAACTCTTGTTTATATCAAATTTTGCTATAATTGTAAATTTTAGTGTTAGTAAACACTTAAAATGGTGGCAGCTACTTTTTGCTAATAGAGTAAGAGAACCTTCTTTGAGTTTTCACTACACCAGGAATTATCCTTGATTCTTAGTGTAGTGAAACACCAAGAACCAAGAGTTATCATTACACCACTTTGGTGTAATATATTTGCCACCATTTTTAGTGTGATGATATTAAAAAAATTTTTGCAGTGAATTCATATAATTTTATATGAATTTCCATAATATCAAATTTTCTTCATGATGTCTAATTAATATTTATTTGCATAATATTCTTAGTATTCTGAGACTTGTTTTCAACTCAACTAGTGATTATCATCATATTTTATAAAAATTAAGCCCAAAATCTCTCAGGCTTGGTACGTGGCTTATAGACAATATAAAGCATGCTTTCTTCAAGGTAAAGAAAAAATATTTTCATTTCGCATTATTTACTCTAGCATAATATACACCGAAGAGTCATTACAATATGACCACCCTGCTAATAACATGTAGGACCACCTTTAGCCCTCAAAACTGCTAGCACCCGCCGTGGCATTGATTCCACAAGGTGTTGATAGGTAGTCTGAGGTATCTGGTACCAAGCGCTCACCAACTGGTCCTGCAATTCCCTCACATTGCGAGGGGGTAGCGTGGCAGCACGAATTTGGTTTTCCAAGTAGGACCACAAATGCTCTATTGGATTAAGGTCAGGTGAATTTGGGGGCCAAGACATGACTTGAAAGTCACTGGAATGTTCCTCGAACCAATCCATGACGATTCGACCCTTATGACATGGTGCATTATCCTGTTGGTAAACACCATCCCCCGCAGGAAAAACTGTTGCCATGAATGGGTGAACCTGGTCTGCAACTATGTTCAAGTAGCTTACAGACGTCAGGGATTGTTCTATGAGGATTCTGGGTCCTAATGTGTGCCATGAAAACATTGTTCCTGGGCGAGAAACCATGAAAACCTGGGTGAGCCCATTGTTATAAATGGAGGGTGGTCATAATGTAATGGCTATTCGGTGTAAATCAAGGCTCTACTTACCATTCTCTTTAAAACTATAAGTTTTGGCCCAATGTGTGACATGGTCATGTAAAATTCATATAGTCGTATATAGCTAAGAATGCAGCTAAATGTGTAGATAAGATGAATATCGTCTAATCTTATCCAATTAGAAATGTATATAAATTGGGATAGAGCTCTTAAAGAAACACCAACAAAGAAGAAAATCACCCAAACTACGTCTAATTTATTCCAAAAATAGCCGTGTAACCATTCCATTAGCTTATTATCTTTTGGATCACTTGGTTGCTGAACAATCTAAAAATAAAAAAGTAAAAATTCAAAATTATGATTCTGCAAAAATACACTTTTAACTAAATTACTGCTGCTATTTATCAAAAATAATATGAAACTAGTAACAGACAATATCGATTTCATTTAGAGTTTTGAATGAAGACATTGTTAACAAGTTATTTTCTGTTTTCTTGTGCGAGATAAACTATTTCGAGCCGAATACTTTTTCTATATAAAACCATGATTTAAATTAAAAGTAGTTTCAAGAAATTTAGCAAGATTTTGCTGTGAACATGCACCAAATAAATTAGATAGACTAGGAAAATCGCAATTAAAGTAATGCCTTTTAATTTTAAAAGTCGATCACTGTCAAAATATGGTTAATGGTTTTCTGTAACTAGAGCAGACAATCGCCGGTTCATTTGGTGGCTGTGTGTTAATCTTGCAAGGCTAATACGTAATCTGTTTATTAGTATTTCAATCGTTCTGGAGCAATTTACGAAGACAGTTTAGGCTATATGTTTGTCAAAAAAAATTTATTGAAAATTTCGATTACAAAAGTTTTGATTTTTACAACACCAATTTTACTCTGCAGTTTTTGATTTTTGATATATTTTTGTTAAGTTCAACATCAGATAATCTTCCAAATCATCGACTGCTAAACGAACGATTATTTACTTAGAGTGACTATAAAAATTATTTTATTTTTTTTCCAACCCCTTTAGCAATTTAGCTTCAAAATCAGCTATTCATTTAATTACATTTGCAATTAATTGAGAAATTTCGTTTTGAATTATGAAAAAAGATTTATTGAAAAGTACAGGGCCAACTCATTATTAAAGAATGTTATATTTCAAAGATTTTCTTTTCTCATACTATCAAATCTTGTTATTATAGGGCAGTATAATTTGCAATACACTAAAATGGTAATTGCGAGAAAAAAAAAACCTGATCATTTTGAGCTTTCTTTCGAAAAGTACAAAAACTACTTAGAAAATTGCTTGTAAATTCCTTTAAATTTTTAAGATATTCAAATCAAACTTTTTTCATTAGTTGCCAAATACGATGGATCACAAAATTATGAAGAAAAATTATTTTTAATTTTTTCCGCGCTTGCGCAGTATAAAAGAACTACATTATATACTTGCTACCGTGAATGACAGAAATCGAAAGAATGTCGACTTTCACCCGTGAATGTCAGCAATCACATTATTGCTTTGGTGAATGTCTGAGATATTTGTTATCTCCCATTTGATATTAATTTATTCGTCGCTATTATTATATTTATTCTATATTTTAATATCTTCTGATGATAGATTAGGAGAAACATCAGTGTTCGGAGTATCTGTTGAATGCATACTAGGCAGTGGCACTTGACCTTCAAAACCTTTATGTAGGACATATCGGACAAATGCATACCTTAACTAGACCTAGCACATATTTCAGACATTTACCAAAGCTACTATCTGATTGTCAATTTCCACTGGTGGAAGTCAATAACCACCTATTTCTGTCATTAACAGTATCATACTCATATCTTGCACAGTTAGTAACAAAGATTTTTCATACTTTAGAAGGATAATTTTGTAATGAATTTTTAATTGCTCCAAAAATTTTGTTGAATTCTATTAAATATTTTTCAAGCCATATTAAAAAATTAGTTTTTTTTTTATGAAAATGTCCGTATCTTCATGAATATCTAAGCTACGTTTACGAAATTTTATACACTTATTTTAAATGACAACCAAACTGATCGATACAAGTTGCAAAGGTATTGCTTGATTGACTGGCATAGAGTATTCAAAAACATTTCTTCTCTTTCGTAATTTATTGTCGGTCCCTCTAACCACTAAAAGCTTTAAGTTGTACAGATAAGTATGAAAAATCGCAAGCAATAAAGTTACAAAATAATCCTCTAAGTATTTCTTGAGAAATTTAAAAACATGTAAAATAAACTGAAAGAGTATCTTCCATAGAGTAGCGAAAGAGTATCTTCCATAATTAGCTTTCTGCTATGAACATTTTACATATGTACTGAAATAATTTATAGATCTTCATACTTCTTTTCCAATGTCCAGAATCAAACTGAATGCCCAAACATGAAGAATAATTTCTGGCCAGTTTACAACATCTCGAAAGTCAAAAAGTATCACATATGAAAATAGGAAAAGATAGCACAAATAGGAGTACTGTCAAATAAAAGAGCATATGTTAAAAATTATTCAAATTTTAGCCATAAATAAAAAAGTTCATGAAAAATAATGCCCGTGCAATGCAACTTAAAAAGTATTTTTGTTAGACAAAATCAATTGCTTATAGTGGATGCTAAATTTGCTAATGGTAGGGTAAACCAACCAGTGAAGGAACACTACCCAGTGAAGGAACATTTCATATATATTCATTAAAAATAAGAATTTGAAAGTTTTTCTTTAGATTGATTGGTAACAATAGCTTACTGCCAAACAATAGGAAGTCATCTAGCAATGTTTTGGATTACCTGGTCAAATAGACTTCTCTGGAAAAATTTTTGAATTTGTTATTATCTCTGCAACACCTTGTTTCTTTGAAAAAATTATAAGGTGAGTGTTTGTATTTATATGTTTGAAGTGGAATTAATTGCATGTAATAGTTTTATTTTTCTCACTGTGAAAAAGAGAATTCAAAATATAGTTATTGAAGTTACGTTTTATTTTTTTTAAGCATCATAGCATAATAAAGTACTGAGATAAGGGGGTGTTTATTCACTGGATCACCAAACGATGAAAAACCAGTGAAGGAACAAGTGTTCCTTTACTGGTTTTTTTTCTAAGTTAATGAAAATAAAAGATAAACTTTAATTTTCTTGTACCTTTAGTGATGTTCCGCATCAAAAGTATGTTAAAAATACGAAAAACAACTTCTAACCAGTGAGGGAACAGGCATGTTCCTTTACTGGGCATAGATTTCCCAGTGAATGAACAGTATGTGTTAATATGTTGACACTTTAATTTTCAATTCATGATTACAAAAAAAGGTTAACATTTTCCAAGTATTTATATGTTATAATTTCTAGAATAGGCTTGTTTTTAAATATTTGTATGGCTTATGAATTCATAAGGAGCATTAAAAAATAACCAAAATTAAGTGTTCCTTTACTGGGTGTTCATTCACTGGTACGAGCTGTTCCTTCACTTGGTCTTCTTACTACTTGTTATATGAACTTCCAAAACTTTAAAACAATAGTATGTGAGCTCTCTACAATTTTTTTACATAATTTGCAAGTAGTAACAAATATGCTGACACTATCATTTAACTAAAATTACGAATTTTGAAATTAATATGATATTTTAAAAGGCAAGCGAAGCTTAAGTGTTCCCTCACTGGTTAGTTTACCCTACAAAAGAATATTAAAATTAGCAGAGAACTTGCACATCGTTATTATTTTCGTGTGACTTTACTAAAGGAAGTATTTTGCGAAACAAAAAGAGTTGCTTAAAGTAGCTACAATTTAGTTTGAAAAAATATTTTCAAAAAAAATTTAAATTAAGCCGTAAACATTGCTGCTTTTCTTATTCATTTTAGCTTAACTATGATAATTCTTATTCATAGATCAAAATTGTCTTACTGTGAAGAAAATTTATATCGTCTTTGAACTTACTATTTTAGATTCAACTCAAACTGCAGTCTTAAGACATCGCTTGATATGTGTTTTTAAATAAATTATATTTTTCACACTTCCTCGACACTGTATCTTATGAACGGGAATTTGATTTCTATAGATTCAGCATCACAATAATTTCTAAATTATCTGTCTTGTCGTCTCGTATTTAATCTCATTTACTTCAGCGAAAATAAATAAACGGAATGCCTCATTTGTCTAGATAGCAATATTTAAGTTTCTTCTATCATTTATTCTCTTTATAAAATTTCAACTCTCATTATTTTTCATTCAATTTGCACTTTAAATCTCATAAAAACTCTTCGCGTAAGATCATACAACTTTTTACCACTTACGAAGAGAGGGATACTTAACAGCTCGAAATTGTGTAAATGTCTTTTTGTATATACTGATTTTGACGATTTTTGAGCTATTATTAGAGTATTTTACTACCGTAACCAACATTTCTCTAATCTGGTACAGAAATGAACTTTTGAGTCTTATCGTTTTATTCTGAGAAATATCGTCTTTTATTAATATCTGTGAGCATTTACTGTTATTTTAGCTGTTATAAAATGGGGAATAATCAAAATTAAAATGATTCTTTTCTACCAAGAGGGGAAAAAAGAGGTTTAAGGCATTAACAAGGACATGGTGCGTTAATACAGAGATGCCAACTTGCTCCGGACAACAAATATATATTTTAAAGTGGTAGTTTATCAATTGTGATTCTTGGTTTAATGAATTCAATTTAGTAGATTTTTATCCACCACTATTTCTAAATAATTCGTAGACTTATATAATGCACCACTTTATAGTACTTATGTAACGCTATACCTTTTAAAAGCAAGCAAAAATAGTTAAATATTTGGCAAATTTACTTTGTAGTTAATTACCGTTTTTTTCATTATTTTGGCGTGTCCGGAGCAGTTGGCATCTCTGGTTAATATAGTAACAAGCTAACAAAACTGTCATTAGTTTTTGCATCTGTCAAATTGCATTGACCAACTAGTGTTTTTGTAAGAAAATTAACGAACATTTAATTATAAAAAACGAAAAAACATTTTAACTATTATCGCAAAAATAGGTTATTCGTATTTTTTTTCACTCCCTTCGTCCCTAATTAGTTGCTACATTTGGGTCGAAAATTTTGTCCCATATCAGTTGCTACATTTCATGTAAATGGAGTCATAAATAACTTTCGATGCAGTTCTGTAGTTTGAAACCAGTAAAATTATACTAGCTAGAAGTTAGTTTTAAGCGATTACTGGTGAATGGGGCGTGACAAAATGGGGCGTGACTTTAGAGTGGCGAACACTAGACTTTGAAACTAATTTAGCACCGATTTAAGGAATTCTTGGTGAGTAACTGTTGGTGATTGAAAGCATAACTCACTGAAATCTTTGAAAACGTTCAAACAAAATCATGAAACTAACAGTATCAATAATATTCAAATGTTGCAATTAATTTGAGACAGAGGAAGTAATGAATAGGAATCTTAATGTTTGGAATCTGTCTCGAGCCATTAAAACGAAAGTTAATTCATCAAAAAACTACAAAGGAATATGCTTGATTAGGATTTTTTTCCTGTAAAAGGCAGTTAAAAAGGAATATTTATGAAATTACTTACAAAAAGCACCATCATTTTAATAGCCGGGCAAGAATAAAAAAAGTAAATTTTTTCAAAAATATTTGGCTCCCTTTCTGCATCAGGATCATGTCTGTATCTGAGGTATCCTAAGCCGATGAGTAAAGGATTGAAGATAGTAAGGCTAAGCTAACAAAAGAAAAATTAATTACAAGAAATTGAAAAACAAACAATTAAAAATTTATACTTATGAATTAAGGGCTTGCAACGCCAGGGGAGAAATTCAGTTTTGCGTTCTTAACATAACGGTCTAAAATAATTAACATACTTTACAAACACTATTTAGATATGAATAACAAATATGAATTAAGCAAGGAAGGAATTATGCATACATAAAATATGCTTTAAAATTATTTTATAGTAAAATATAATGCAAATTAATTGCAAACAATTAAAACTTAAACTTCAAAAAATAAGCTTCCCATATAAATGTAGTTTTTTGTTTCAAACTATTTTTATACATTTTTTAAGTAATTCTTTTTTTAAATAATATATTCTACTATATCTAGCATACCAGTGTACCAATTTGTATGCATTTTCTTCAAACTGTTGTGAACATGTGTGTTTTCATTCTGGAATTCCTTTTTCCTTACAAATAATTTTTTGAACAAAATTGTGCAAATCTTTAAGTAGTTATTCTGAGAAAAGTAAAGGAATAAAAATCTAGTGGCACCTAAGCTTATGTCTTAATGTGCATTATTTTTTTATTCATTTGAAATTATTTTCCTCACCACTACATATAAATTATTACAAATTTCATACGCAACATTACTTTGTTCTAGCTCTATCGTGGTAAGGTTTTTAAAATATAAGCAAAATTATAAAATTTTTAAAAATTTTGGTCTTTGAATGTCTACCATTTCATTAAAAAATTCGCAAAAAGCGTTGTAGTTCGTAGGCCTGCAAATGCAAGAAATACAGCAAAAGTGTGAAAAGATTATTTTAATTCACTACTTATGATAACAATCTTTTGTAATTCACTACTTATGATAAAAATCTTTTGTAATTCACTGCTTATGACAAATATTAAATTACACAAAATTTTTTACGGAGGAAACGAAAAGTTTTTGCAATTATTTTCAATTTCTTCGACATATAATACAATCAATTTTACTTTTATCGTCTGGAACGCAAGATAAGTCTTGGTCTTTTTTACATTAAATTTCAAGTGCTACTGAGTTTTAAAGGTGATTGTAATTTTTATTCTTATTTTTCCAATTTAATACTAATGAATTTCAAAATTTACAAAAGATGATTGTAACAAACTCCGAACATTTATATTTTAAAAACATTAGAATTACATGAAAAAAATAAGAATAACTTAAAGCAAAAAAAAATTTGCATTAAATTGTTCTTATGCTTTATCTCCTAAAGAAGTTCTATACATGTACGCAGGAGCATGACATCAAAATTTCAAAATTGATTTTTCGCTAAAATTTTTTTCTTTGAACTTTTATTATATGCATGCCAACTCTCTGTAAGAATGCCATTGTCGATTAAAAATGTAAAAAGTGGTTGAAACCCTTTTAATTTTTATTTATTTCCGCTGTAAATAAAATCGAAAATAATATGTTTAAATTAAAAAATTTAATACCCCTTTACATCTTCTGAAAAATCCTTCCGTCAAAAGCGGAAAAAGTTGACAAGTGTGAATGAGCTTTTAAATGTTTTCCAATTTCAATTAAATGAAAATGAGACTTACCCTGAGAACTGTATTGCTTTCAAGTTTTCCAAACCACAATTGTTCTGTAAGCTTTATGCAGGTTTCTGAAGACATAAACCCCTATGAAATTAGAAGAAAAAAATTCTTTCAGAGCAATATCATATATTCGTATAATAAAATATTCAATGGATAGGGAACTGAACACTTCGAAACTATGAGTGAAGACATAATCAAGCATATGATGATCTAAAATTTAAAACAGTGAACTTAAACTAATTACAGATTAATTGAGAGAGATACAGATACCTGAAGACATAAATCCCTATGAATTTAGAAGAAGAAAAATAGTTCAAAGCAATATGATATATTCATATAATGAAACATTCAATGCATAGTGAAATGAAAACTTCGAAATAATGAGTGAAGACTTAATCAAAAATATGATGATTCAAAATTTAAAACAGAGAAACTAATTATAAATTGATTAGTTCTGATCGTTTAAATGCTCTCGCTAAATTAAAAAATATGCGTTTTGTTGCACAACTTGTTGTTATTTCACAACTATTTTAATACGTTTTGAAAAATATACCAGAAAAATTGAATGATTTTAACAGTTTTGATTTTTTTGGAAAAAGTATATGAGAAATCACGAGAGCTTTGAAAGTTTATGAGTTAAGTATTACCAAACCAAATATAAAAACCAGACAAAAATAATAACCAACAATAAATAGATATTTATTCAATAAATTTGGTAAAATTATCGGTATTTGATGAATTGGGTGTCAATCTTGTAGTTTGAAATATCGCCGTCTTAATTTCTAGCTAGTTAAGGCTAACGAGTCATTAAATTAATGGAGATAAAAACGAATGAACATGCCACTTTTTTAACAAATTTAAATTCTTGATTATCAAAATATGGATGGGTTATTGTGGGTATCAAGAATATGTCATGTTAACTTTTTAAAAACGTGAAATACATTTACTATAAAAATTTATATACCACTATCATAATTTTAAGGAACCACAGGACGCCCTGGTTTAGTAAGCAATGGTCTTACCCTGTCATATCCCAAAATTGCGAGATCCAATAATGTCATATTTCCCCAATAGCCATCCCGAAAGTTCAAAATTTCAGAGGTTTTTTTCCAGTCCATTTTGTCACATTCTTCGAGAACACCTGTTGCAATCTTTTCGAATTCCTGTTCAAAGAAAAAAAACTAAATTATTGAAGTCCAATAAATAATTATAATTAATTAATGAATAATAAATTATAAATAAATATTAAATAATAATAATTAATTAATTATAGCAATAATACTGAAAATTAATAACGATAATCATAATAATTCATTATAATAATCATAATAATAATTAATTATACAAATTATAATAATAATGAATTATAACACTTATTATAATAATAATTAATTAAAACAATTATTATAGTAATAATTCATTATAATAATTATAATAGTAATAAGTAATAATTATAATAATCACAATAATGATAATATACTAAATAAATAATTATTATAATAATATTAATAAATATTAAGTAATAAATTAGTAATTAAATTAATAAAATACTTTTATATTTGTTTAAGAGAAAAAATTACTTCGTTTTTACCTTTTTTTTATCTACATAAATTGATTTTTCCTCGTTTTCATATGACACATTTAACCTCCAATACAGTGCAGTGGCTACTACAGACATTTGTAATGGTTTTTGGGTTTCCGTCCAGAAAAACAATGCCATTTCCGTCCTACATTATTGAGAAACAAAACTTTGAATGGTAAAATAACTTTCAATGTCAAAAATTGTGTTGTTGTCTTATATGACTCATTTAACCGTTTATATACTAACATATACAGTATTAACATATACAGTTTATATACAGTAGTTTTTGAATTTCAATCCAAAGATTTCCGAAAAAGAAAAAAAATCCGTCCTAAATTACAGAGAAACAGTAATTAAATGACAAAAAGGAATTCAAAGCTAGGAACTATGGAATGATTTCATCTGGCATAATTAACTTTTTTTATCCAGACTTTTTATATTGAAGTCATTCAAAAAGTGGCTTCATGAAAAATTGGTATAATGATAATAAACTATATCTACCGAAATTATAGAACAGCAATAATTAAGAAACAACAACTTAAAAATCAAACCAACATGGTGTGATTTCATAGGATACATTTTGCCTCCAATGCAATGCAGTGGCGAACAAAGCATCATGATGTTATTAAACCATTTGTTACCATTATTTTTTATTTGTCTTTTATTTGTTTTAATTTTATCTCTTCATTAAAAACAACTTCTCTAATTAGCTTAATTTTTATTTTATGTAACCATTTAAATTAATAAGATTTATTTTATCAAAGCTTCAAACTGACAGACTATTGATTGTTAAAACGCTGGCAATGAATTGAAAAGAATCGTAACCACCTGTAAAATATAATATGAATGAAGAATAATATTAGCTTAGCATAAAAATTAATTTCGTTATTAAATATTGAAAAAGTGTTGAATGATTTTAAAGCTACATTTGCTTTAAAATATTGATGATGGTAATAAAAGTTGACATGTTTCGAGTGCTCAAAAATAGGCAGCCATTCTCATGACCGGGGGGCGAAATGGACGACTTTAATTTTTTAAATCATCAAATATTTATTTTTTTTGCTGTTCTTTGGAACTATTAATTTAACTGCTAAATTCATAGCGTTACAAATCTGCATGGTATGTTTAAAATCTCACATCTCTTTATGTATTAAACATTAGCAATTTTTTTAAAATTTTAATTTCGCCAAAACTATTTTATCGTATCTCAATGCTTTATCGTATCTCAATATCGTATCTAGAAGAAGAGTTAGTGAAAGGTTTGTTGCCAAAATATAATTCGTAATAGTGAATAGTGAGTAGATTAATGGTATCAATTTCTTTTTTAAAAAAGTACTTAGTACATCACATATATATTATTGCGTATCACACTTTTCGAAAAATCATAAAAATCACAGCAAATTTACATTGTTACAAATTTGGTAGCTACGCAAAAAAAAACAATGATCGACCTAATACGATTATTTATGTAAAAAGTAATTATGTTTGAAAGCGATTTTTTACATAAAAATTAATGCTTAAAATATTATATTTCTGAACACAATAGATGTGTAGAACTTAAGGAGTAATTGCTTATGGTTATGTAGAAATACATTAATATGTTATTACATATTTTTTTGAATTAAAAAAAACTCCCTTGTGATTCTATCTTTTTTTTTTTTTTTATTTTTCNTACCCTTTTGTATTTCTCCATTATTTACGCATATTACTGACTCACTATAAACATGATTTATTTTTGAAAAAACCTGTTTAAGGTCAATATAAAAGGTTTGTTACCAAAATATAATTCGTAATAGTCAACAGTGTGTAGATTAATTTGATTATTGTTAACAATTTAAAAAAGTACTTTATGCATCACATTTATACTCTTGAATATCACACTTTTCGAAGAATCACAAATATATGCAAATTTACATTTCTATAACATTGTCAGCTTTGCAAAAGTATCTTACCTGAGAACAATGATCGACCAAATAAATAGTTCTCTAAAAGGCTGTTCAAAATGCTCTCCGGATATTCCTGTTGATTCAATACCTCTTTTACAAGTAATATCTCTTTGATAGACATCATGCCGGTGTTTTCTCATTAAAAAACCCAGAAAATTTGATATGTCTCTGAGATTAAAATACCTGTCTTTATGAGTCAAGTCTTTTAAGACAACTAGCGCAGCTTCATTTTCAGATATCTAAAAGAGAACAGATTGCAAATCAAATATATTGCCACTGAATCTTTTATTTTGCACAAAATGTATGTTTGTTTAAGCGAGTGAATGAAGTCAAATTCGCTGCATAATAAATATTTCGGGGAAAAAATGTAAATTCTAACTCCTGGCATTCGATTTCATTCGAATCGTTGGCAAAAATTAAAAATTAGTATCATCTTTGTTATAAAGGAGCCAAAAAATTTTCAGTTTTATGTCGGTGAGTTTTTAAATCCGAACACAGCTCGAAATACGTATTTTCGAAATTGGAAACAGCAACAATTGCACCTTTTCAGTTTTCAACCAAAATTCAACGACTAGATGAAGAATTGCGTGCATGCAATTCATTACTTAATTAAACACTGAACATAATCATTACGGGGCAGAGTGCTTGAATTCGAGGTTGGGGCAGCTATATAAATTACTGTCGTAAATTCGCATTCAGAACGCTAAGCGATTATGTGAGTTTTAAAACTCTAAATTCCAAAAATGAAAATTTACTATCACAGTTACAAAATAATAGCATCCGTAACAACCTTGTGAAAACAACTGTTGACTTCAGTCTTTTTTCTTAAATAAAAGACTTATTTAGTAAAGCGTACAGTTGTTGTTGTCGTAGTCTTTCCAGACAAGGCATGCGAGTATTCTTCTTTTCCAGTGGCGCCATCTAGGGCCAAGAACTCGTCACAAATACCCCAGACACGTTAATAGGGCGGACCTGAGCAGTGGTGGCTTAGGAGATAGAACGTTTGCCTTCGAATGAGAAGAACCGGGTTCAAATCCCAGTGATGGTTGGTCGATGCGAATTCCGCACCCGGGTTGCACCGACCACAATGCTAACGTGAAATATCCTCAGTGGTAGATGGATCATGGGTTAGAGTACCCTTGCCCTCAGGCTCGCTAGCCAAGTGAGGATTTCGTGGTTTTCCTCTCCATGTAACGCAAATGCGGGTTAGTTCCCTCAAAAAGTCTCCCACGATTGCAAAAATTTCCCAATACTTGATCCAGAAGTTCCCTTGTCTTCTGGATTAGATTAAAGTCTATGACTGGAATAATACAAGGATACGGAGTTGATCGTTGGTTGCCGTAAACTCAGCTGTTCAACGACGGTTATATTTACAGAGGACCCAATCATACATCCATTCATTAATCCACAGATCGTAATTTAGACCTGGACCAAAGATCAATTAATCTCTTATTCAGTACCCACAGAGATATAATTTGTTATGGAAACATGGAGGACTTTGCGATTCGATAGATTTAAAGTGCACCAGTTACCATTTTCTACACGGGGGAGTCTTTTGCTTGCTGGATTCGAACTCTAGTTGTCACAGACGTGAGTCCAATGCCCTGCCATACCAAAGTATCCCGGCGCAATAAGCTGTACTAATTTAATTAAATGCACGTACCAAGTGATTTGTGCAAATAAACGGTTTCTAATTACGAACTTTTTTTTTTGGATTCATTACTTAATTCTTTCAAAAAAAGAACAATGCTCATAAAAGGAGTTTGTAAAACGGAATCAAATGTTGTGTCCATGTTAAATAGCTATATCCATTTTTGTAAACGGCATTTCGAGCTATGGCCATTTAAGTAAACATGCATTTTGTACTTTGTTTATTTTTATAAATACGTATTTCGAGTAGTGTCCAGATTTAAAAACTCATCCGCGATTATCTTTTACTTTAGAATTAAAGTTTCAAAGTCGTCAGGTTTAGGTATATTTATTTAGAATTAATGAAATATTATGGTAAATGCCAATTTCATAAAGACATTATTCGGTTTTAAATACTTGTCTGTTTACATGTCTAGTTAATTCGTTTCATCAAGATGGTATTATTCTAAAACTTTTCTATGAGTTTGTAACACTTGACTTGACATGTTGTTTTACGAAGTGTCTGCCCTCGAAGCGGGCATCAGACTTCTTCATCTAATTTGCCCTAGGACCACTAAGACTTTTGGAATTAGGCTTAACCCCTTCTGACCTGATAATATCATTTTGTAAAAGTGGTAACTTCATTTTGAAAAATATACGTACTTTAAAATTTCATATATGCTAAAAAATAATTTCATTACGTTCACTGTGAGTTGAAAAATTCAAAACAGATCTTATAAAATTAATTGGAAGTTAAGTTAATGAAATTTTCAGCAGTTTTGGGAAAAGTTCGTCACCACTCTTTAATTTTTCCCAAGTTGTGGATACTTTGAGTCTGAAGAGGATGAGGAGGTGATTGGGTAATTGGCGGCTTGTGGATCGACTAGAAGACTAGTGTAATCCAGGGATGCCAACTGCTCCGCTTTCTTCGGAAGTTTTAATATATTGGTAACCAATTAAATAGCAAAACTTGTAGAATAAGGATAAATACGCCTACTTTTTAAAAGAATAACCTCGAGTATAGTATACTCATACTCATATGTGTTGGTTATCTTAGCATCAGCCCCGCTAGGGGCTCCAACAGGAGTGGAAATAGGAGTGGAAAGGAGTGGAAATAAATGATAGGAGGGAAATAAATGATAAATCGCCGAAGCGCAACTGATAGGTGAAAGTTGGGGTTCAGTATCTTTTACTGAGAGAAAATTAAAATGAAGTAGTGAGATTGAACAAACAAGTTTAAGAGAGAGAAGAGGTTTTGTGGCAAACTGCCCCGCCTCCCTTCGAGGTATTACCCCCGAGCTTCTCAGGTGCACAGTAGCCACATAGCCTCAGAGAAAAGGAGAAATACATAATAAATGCGCAAAATTCGCTTGGTCTACGGGCTTAACCCTTCAATGGGCCCTTTATTTCTAGTAAAGGTAAATTAAAGTATTTTTGGAATTGAAATTGTTGAAGAACAGTAATTGATATAAAAAAAAACTCATTTAGTTTATAAAAATGCCATTTTTTTGGTGGTAAATATATTAAACATGACCTATTAGGAACTTACTGACTTTTATTTTTCTTTATTTATAAAATAAATTCCTTAAATGCTACAAACTTAAAAAGGAATTACGTATTTTATAACTTTTATACGTTTTTTAAAAGTGACAAATGGTTACCAATTTTATTCAAACTCACTTCAAGAAAGCTGAAGTTATTGAAAAATGGAAACCTAAATTAAAANTTTAACCCTTTGACGGTCAGGGAAATGAGCAGTTTTCGTTTCATTAATTCGCGCAGTATTACGAGCAAACAGTAGTCGAAAGTGGCAGCTATTTTTCACCGCTGTTCTACCGAAAATGTCACCCTTCTCTGGCGATGCCAACTGCTCCGCTTTCTGGAATTGTTATAATTTCGTTGGAGATGGACAGTTACGCCTACTTTTTAATAGAGTAACCAGTAGACTGTTGCTTTAACGTTGCATTTTATATGATACTTATAGTTTTTGATATTTAGTGGTGAAAAAATTACTTAAAAGGAAAAATACTAAACTGAAAGTAACTTGACTTTCGCTATCACTAGGAAATACTATTTTACAAAGCGGAGCAAGTTGGCTTCTCTGGATGCGGTAGATAGCTCGCCTCACGCGTTTAAAAATTTCTTAAACTATTCGTAGTACATAAATAACAGTTTTTACGTACTTTTCGTTTTTAACATAGTCAATGCAGAATAATTATGACGAACGAGGTCAGCTCGTCAGCACGCATTGGGGAAAATTTCACTACCCGAATAGTGCTCGTTACTTGATCCAGAATGATAAATCCAAGATTTCTACCATTACGGTAGAAATCTTGCTCCCGAGCGGAACTCGTTTGCGCGCTTTATGAGGCACGATTCGATTGCGAGCTGAACTCGTTCATAACCGTCAAAGAGTTAAGAAAGCTGAAGTTATTGAAAAATGGAAACCTAAATGAAACGTGGTGGTAAGTATACTTACCACGGCCTTCAAAAGGGTTGAAACAACATCCTTCACATTAATTCCAATAAATTAGATAACTAGAGGCTCTAATGGCTAAGAAAAAAAAAGGTTAGATCTCTAAAGAAAAATGTTCGCCCATTTTTAGATTTTTTTTTAATTTTTATTCTTAAAATGGTAGTAAAATTTATTCTCTCTATTTAGGTCTTTGATGTCAAAAATCGCATCGAAAATGATTTTGACCACAATTACTTACAAATAAATTTAACATATATATACATGCATGATAATAATTATATCGATGATGAGTTTTATCTCTTATAAAAAGCAGAGCATATTTCTACTCGTTCACGGATATGCGAAAGTAATAATTGTTTCTTACGCATTCGTTATAAAGTGTTCTCAACAATCCAACTGTTAAATAATCTCGCATGACAATGCCACGTTTCAAAAGCAATCGAACAAAGGCAGGCTTGTTTGTGATAAGAGCTGCTGTCATGGCATCTTCAATGATGTCCAATGGCCAAGAACCACAATCAGGAAATAACTTTTTTGCCACATCAGGTCTGTTCCAATTAACGGCGAGTAACAGCTGATCTCGAAGCGAAGCACCTTTTTTATCTGAAAAATAATTATTCAATTAAACAATTAAAAATATAGCGTAAGCAGAATTCGTTATTCATCCTAGAATTCTCAAATACTAACGATGCAACAATGTAAAAAGTGCCTTTTTGAAAGAGTGAGAACACTTTAGTAACTTTTGAAGTGAAAATCGAATTTTCATGGACTAAGATGGTGTGAAGGCCTAATCCTAATTAATTTGTGACGTAAGTTATATTAATTTGTGCCATAAGTTGTGATATAATTTGTAAGTTACGATATCAGAAACTATTACGTATTTTCTTTAAACTTACATTATTTTGGACGGATTTAGATTTTTGAACAATAACACTTTGGTGCGGAATTTTTATTAAACAATTTTTTTTATTATTTTGTGCTAATTTAGGTCAAAATAAGCGAAAATATAATATTTAGCGCTTTAATAGTTTATGGTTATGAAATACTGCATGAAACACCAATGTCTTTTTCTGTGTTAAAAGTAAAAGCTTTCAAACACGGCTCACTTGAGAACAATATTTCTTTTTTAATTTGCAGTTATTTAGATCTAAAAGAAACAGTTATTTATCACTGAAATTTCTTACACTGAAAAAAAAATGTAAAACTACTTTTTTTCTTTGGATTTTATATATTAGTATAAATATGATTCTATGTTTTCATACTTGTTAAATAATTCCCGCTTTTTATAATTGAAAAATGTCAAAATATATTTTTACTTGTAATCAGAGCGTCTGTAAAAATATACATGAAAGGAACACCAGTAACCCATCTCCGTCATAGTGTTAACGTAGCTTTGATTTAGTAGTATATTTAATTTGTAAAAAATAACTTACGTTTTATCACAGTTGAAAGAATGTGCAAATCTAAGCTCTCATTTCCATTTATCTCAAAGATATGAAACTAGAAATGAAATAAAACAACACCTTTAACAAAATATATACTTTTTTACCGTGACAAATATTGATTAATAAAATATTTAATTTTAAAAATTAGCACTTTTTGCAATTTTTTTGCAATTTTAGTCACCTGTAGCAACCCTGTTTTGGCCATCCTGTATTCCTTTTTAAATATGTATGAAATTTCTATGTTTGGAATAGAAGTCAATTTATTTTAAGAGAGTTTAGTCTTTTAGAAAGTTTGATGTCAAAATTAATTTATTATGGACGAAGTTAAAATAAAATATCATGTTTCTTCTTTTTTCGGAAAAATCGGAAAAAGGTATTTTTGTGCATTATAATAAGCATGATAAGCAGTAGCAACTAACTACTGTCTATATTTTAAAATATTTCTTGGACATATTATCATAACACTTTACATATTTAAAATTCGATCAATTTAAAAGTGTTTCTAGGATACTTTTTGTGGGCATTTCATAAAATTGTGCTTCAGATATGCTTTATCGAAAGGTGGGAACAATAACAAACAGCAGCTGATTTTGAATTTTATTGATATTTATGTTACATTTTATAAATATTTCCTAGCTGTGAAATATATTTTTCAATTTATACAAAATTAACTCTAAAATAATATTTTTCTTCAAATTTCATGCTATCAAATTACCTTAAATAATAAAATTTGCAGGAAAAACTATCAGTACTGCGGACTGATTGAACTCTGCCCAATTTTACGAGCAAGAAAATAACATTTTGTTTGAAAATATTTTACAAAAATATGAGTTCCTAAGTACCTGAGAAAAACTTTTTAAGGATGGATAACTAAGTTTAAAGTACTTACTTTAATCATTTTTCTGTTAAAATAATAGTGTGGTTTGATGCGTTACTTTTTACCATGTTTCCAAACACTAAAATTTTTCCTTGGTGAAATATAATTTATCTATTACTGCTATATTAGTTACGGATATTATCTAGTAACCGTGCTATTTATTCCTTATAATCTTATTTTTATTTGTAAACATCTAGACAGAATTGAAAAATAATAAGGTCACATTGGCGCAGTTAACATCATAAATGCCTTTTTGGTTGGAAATTTTTTTAAGGCATTTATTGAAAACTTTTGCAACAACTTATGTTAATTAATGTCAATTGTCGGAACTGAAAACTCTAAAATTTTTACTGCGTATTAAATTTAAACTTAACTGTAGTCAGAGCCTAAAATTTAGAGCTGTGTTATTTGAACGTCACAGAATGCCCCCACAAGGATCTATTTAGCAGTTGACCATAATGAACATAAACTGCGCAGTGGGTGAAAAAAAGAAAAATGTCACAGCGTATGAGCTACTAAACAGCGCTGTGGAGAGAACACGAACAATGTCACAGCTTTCGGGATACTATACTGGGCAGTGGGGAAAAATACGAAAGATGAAGCAACTTTTGAGCTACTAAACGATGCTATTTCTTATTTATGATAACCTATGCGAAAGTCTTCTCTCTTCTCGGAGGCGTTGGTCATGCTTCGAGTTTTTGAAAACTGCCCTTCAACTATTCAAAAAAAAATCGTAAAAAAACTGTAATAATAAAGTAATAATTAGCAATAATAAAGAAAATGGAACATCATTTTATAAAAAGTGTGGAATCCAGCTCCAGTTTCGATACCTTAAAAATTAAAAAACACTTACTAAATTTTTCTTCTTGCAACATTTATAAATATCTTTAACTTTGGCATCTAATGCAGCCGCACTAATTTTAGATTTCTTTGAGTAGGAATTTAGTAAGTTTCTTATTAAATCTTTATCTTCCTCGGCAATCATTCTTTCACACCTATTTAAAAATAAAATTGTTTAACAAAACTTTAATTTAATTCTTTATAATATAACTTAATATGCAATAATTAAATTATTTTATATAAATGTTATTTTAAAATTTATGCATGTTAATATAAAAATATAAAATTATTATATTGAAATGTTTTACAGCACTAAATTATTTTATTAAAACATTTTATTAAATATAATTATTTCATTAATTTATTTTTTTAAATATTTCAGTAAAGTAATTTGCTATTTATAAATATTAATTTAATAAAACATTTAATTATCGAAAAGTTTAATGAAATAAATGATAATTTAAAATGATATAAATATCATATCTAATCAAACTATTTTAATAATTTGAAATATTTTAACAAATTTAATTTATGAATGCTAATATAAAATATCATATTATTATGTTGAAATATTTCACAGCATTAAATTTTTTTATTAAAACATTTCATTCAATATAATTATTTTATTATTTGATTTTTTTAAAATAATTTAATAAAGTAATTTTTTATTCATAAATATTATTCTAATAAAACAATTAACTCTCGAAAAGTTTAATGAAATAAATGATAATTTAAAATGATATAATTATTTTAACTAGTCAAACTAATTTAGTAATACGAAATATTTCAACAAAATTGCTTTAAAATTGAACACATTTGAGTAATATAATGTTATAATTTTACTTATTTCGAAAAAAATATTGAATAATTTAAATTTTATTACTTTAAAGTGTGTCATTTTAAAGTGTTTCATTTCATCAAATATAATAAAATATTTCAATTTATTTTTATTAAATATAATTAATTTATTAATTTACTTTTTTAAACGTTTTAATAAAGTAATATTTTATTCATAAATATTATTTTAATAAAACTATCTAAAGGTTTAAAGAAATAAATTATAATTTTTAAAATTATATAGTTATCATATCTAGTCCTATTTTAATAATTCACAATATTTCAACAAAACGACTTTAAAATTGAACACATTTGAGTAATATAATGTAATAGTTTTACTTATTTCGAAAAAAATAATTAATTAATTTGAATTTTATTACTTTAAAGTACTTCAAAAACCCACTTTGAGCTCGCTATATTGCATCCAGAAATTGCTATTGCAATAATATCTGCTATATCACCAGATCCACAACACAAAAGTATTGGAATATCTTTTTGAAGACATAACAATATTTCGTCAATTGTGTCTAAATCTCCTCCAAGAACAAGAAGAATGGCTGGAATAGCTAAACCTAAGTGAAAATTGTAAATGCAGTTGTAAGTTTTTTTTCTCCATATATTTGTTAAAAAATTACAGTGTTATTAAATAGAAATAGGGTACAAAATAATGGAATGTGGTAATGTACAAAATAATGGAAGCACTTCTGTACTAACAAATTTTTTATCTTCCTCAAAAAATACTTAGCGAATCATTTTATAAATTTAAAACTGTATAGTATGTGATTTCTCATAATTATTGTGATGGTGGCTTGTTCTATTTTATAGTATGGGTAATATCATTGTAGTATTTAAGCATATTTTGACCACAGGAAATACACTTGCGTCTCTTACGACTGAATAATATTTTATGTGAGGGAATTAAACAAAAACATTTAAAGAAAAATTACTTTCTTATTTTGTAATTATTATCAGTAACAATATGGCCATATATTTTTTTCCCAATGCCCACCTGAGTTAACATCCGTCAATTCAGGCATATACAGGGCGATTTTGTTGGCCTCTCTTTCAGGGACACCATATTAGGTAGGCCAACGTCGCTCCCACAGTGAGGACAGATAGTGCAGAGAAGGAAAGAACATCCATGCCTTGCCCGGGATTCGAACCCAGAACCTTTAATGCAAGGACAGTTCCCTGTTCCCTACACAGGCCGGTCGGCATAATATGGCCATATATAATTTTTAAAATAAAATAAAGATAAGATGCCCCTTTAAAGGGATGTGTTGATTCCCATTCTCCCATCAAGAATTTCGTAAAGTTAATTAACGGTCAGGCTGAGGGGCGGATTTTTCCCAGTTTTAACGTCAAGAATTCAAAATTAAAAGTAAAGTGAATTGTTCCCAAACGACAGTTAGGAGCAAGGAAAGAGATCCATGGTTGGCGATTAATCGAAAGATAAAATAGCCTAAGACAAGGTCAACCCCCTGTAATTAATATTGAATTTTGAAATAATTTGAAAATGGCTAATTGCCAAAAAGACCGTGAGAGTTTAAAGAACCCAGTAACTAAATTTTTTTAGTGGTAAGAGAAATAAAATATAAATAGTTATAAATAGATTTTGATGTATGATTTAGCTGATGTTGAGAATTAATTAGTTTTACATTTGTATTGAACTAAAAGGTTAGCCGTTGCATTGATTGTTATTTCATTAAATGTAATAAAAATTGAATATTTGGTTTAATTAAATTAAAATTAGATTAAGAATGATTAAAAAATTCAAATATGGAATAAAAGAAATTTTTTAAGCTAGGAAACATGCAAGGCCTGTTATGGCATCACACTTATCAAAGACGTTTAAAGTTTTTAGAGATTTGAGAGACCGACCATAAATTACAAACCAAAAACAGTGTTTTTCAACACCCTCTGCTTAAAAAAGTAGCAATAAATTTCTAAATTGTATAAATTAGTTTGGTCATTAAATGTAATAATTGCGCAAAATTTCGTAAATCTAGCTCAAATATTTATGGATATATTGGCATTTTTATAAAAAAAACTCATTTTTTGTTTCACGCTTTTCTGCTTTAAAATTAAGCAAAATTTTTGTAGCAATTTAAAATTAATTGCAAAATTATTGATTTAAAGTTTAAGAAAAATTTGTTTAAAACTGGGTAAGATATGAGTAATGTAGTTGAAGTAGTTATTTTATACGGCACATGCGCAGGAAAAATTTTAATTTGTTTCTTCTTTAATTTTATTTGAACCGTATTTGTCAACTAATAAAAAATACGATTTGAATATCTTAAAAATTTAAAACTTTTCAAGTCATTTTTTAAGTAGTTTTCGTACTTCTTGAAAGAAAACTCAAACTGATAAGGGATTTTCTCAAAATATTGCTTTGTATCATAAGGCAAAATTAAATAACAGATGATCATACCTTGCAATAAGCGTTGATACACCGAAATATGATTGTATGAGGAAGGAAAACATGAATAGATTGTTTTTATTTCATATACTATTGACGTATGAAAGTTTCAAGAGAGATACATAACTTGTTTTTGACATAGACGACGTAATATTGACTGCATTTCTTTAACCCTTTCGCACCGGACGGGACATGTGCTGTGCCAGTCCATGGGTGAAAGCCCTTATATAGCAAGACGGAAAAGAGAAAAACCTGGCACGTAAAACATTTCATTCCAGCATTTTTTTCGAAAAAAATGAAATATCTGTAACTATCAAAATTTCTTTTATAATTCTGGCATATATATAAAACTGCTTCTTTTCCAAGATAAAATAGATATTGTTGAAAAATTTAAAAAAAGAATAAGTAAACTCCTCCCCAAAACTAGCTATAACTGAAATGGTTTTACTACCAGCATTTCCTCTTTTCCGTCTCGCTTTCACCCCTGCTGATTTTTCACCGTATTAAAAGGGTTAAAATAATTATGCATAAGACTTTAATGTAACTAGGTTTTAACGCAATTATGCATAAAGCAATTGCGCATATTTTAATAATAATTATACTATAAAGAAAATACTAATTACTTACATTACTTAATTTATAAACAAAATATTATAATTAAACTTTATCAAAATAAGTAAATTGTTTTATATTTTTAAATTCACCAGGTAATAATAACTGTATAACACTAAAGTAATTAGCACAAGACTAATTTCATGCATAATTACTTTAATGTTACTAGGCTATTATGCATAAAATAATTGTGCATAATTGCATAAAAACCACTGGAACTCAATCCTTATGTTTCGAGAGAGGACCTCAAACCAGCTAATAAATTTTGTAGATGATATTTTAGGTGAGGAAATCAAAAACAAAACGTACTTTCTCTGAATAAACAAAAATTTTAGCAACTTTGTTCCCGCGCTCTCGTGAAGCTGCTTTGAAAATGTTTGCAAAATTACCATAAATTCGGAAAGTTTTAATTTTAATTTGCCTCTCAGTCTACAAAATATTTTTCAAGAAGTGTAGTAGTAAGCAATATTCTGTTTTAAAATTTTTTAGTTTACTACCACGTAATCATCTTGATGTAGCTTTAAAGAAGCTCTGCCCTTTAACCTCAGATTCAAAATAAATATTTTAATTAAGAATATATGGTGGTAAACAAAGATATCTCTTTTTCTGTGAAATAAATCTTAAAGTGCTGACGCCTTTTTTTATTTGAAAAAAGAAACCGTCCATCAACAAAAACAGCGCTAGGGTTTAATGTGTTAAAAAATAAATTATAAAATGGATTCTCGATTTAGCTTTGTAATTAAATGTCAAATTTCGAGTATTTAAAAAGAAAATAATCTCTTAAGTTCTTTTAACTTCATCTAAAAAATATAGATGGCACTGGACAAGTCACATTACCTTCCTCTTCTTTGGTCGATGAAATCTTATGCATGAGTTCGACACGAAAAACTTCAGTTCCTTTGCATATTCTTTTTGTACCATCATCAACTAATAAAAAATGTGTATGTCCCGGATTTAAATAAGCTCGACCACTTTCTAATTTTTGATGTGGCTTTACTTTGTATCTTGAATAATGCATTTCCTAAAATAAATAAAGAACTAGTTATATATTAAAAAACAAATACAATTTAAGAGTTTTACAATATCAGCGGGTTTTAATTAGCTATATGAGCCATTCTCCAGAAAGTATGATACTTGAGTCACTTGCTTTTAATCAAATTATTTTTTTAAGAAATATTTTTTTCCTGTCATATAATTATTTATTAAAGCTATCCAACTAATCATTTTAATCGAATTAAATTTAATATATAATTAATATTATGACTTCAGCTCAGTTATGTGTAAAATGACACCTCTCAAACACGATTATTCTTATACTGGTTTGTTCTGTGCTCATAAGTCATGAAGAAATAAGCTTATACTGGTAAAAAAAATTTAAAAAAATAAGTCAGTGATATTATCATTTGTAATATTTTGATATGATACAATCTGACATGAGGAATGCGGTTACTGGGCTATATTTAATGTTGTCGTTTATTAAGCTGATGTCTAGCAAGTGATTGAAATTCGAGGCCGTATAGTTTCTAGCGTCGCTATAGAATTTACAGTTGAGTTTGGCAATGAAGCAGTTAATTTCTTCTATGTTTAGATCCTTCCTTAGCAGTCTGTTGCTGATAGCTCTTGGGGCACTAGTCATGTATCTTGAAACTTTTCCTTCTGTGTAAAACCGCAATCAGTTTCAGATCTAAATATTATTACTTCTAACCATTACCTGGTAGTTAAAATGTCTCGTTTCATCTACAAATAGACGAAAAATTTCCTAAATCTCTAACCATTATTTTAATTGAGGCTGGGATAGCCTACTTGGTAGGGCGCTGGAATCAGGGCCTGATTACCGAAAAGGCACAGGAAGCAAGTGCTTCCCCTTTTAAATTCTAGGGGGGCCCCCAAATGACTGAAATTAAGGGCCCAATTTCTTATTTTTTGTAGCCAAAAAAAATATTAATAATAAAAGAAATAAGAAAAAAAAATGACTCCAACAAAAACTCTCGAAAAGAAAAAAAATGGGATGCTTAATAAATGGGATGCTTTGTGTTGTTTTGCCGCTAGTAAAAAAATTGGCATAAAAAAAGAGACTCTTCTTGCAAAGAACCTTTCGTATAACAACAAGTAACTTTATAATTTAATTTAGTGAAATATTTAAATTTTTTCAACATATGTGCTAGCTACTCCCTCATGTTTTTGTTACTATATATAGTTGGCTACTATACATGTTGGACCCTACTTTACGTGCTTTATAAAGCACGTAAAGAAGGGTCCAACATGATTGCATAGGATCTCTGTATTCCTTTCTAAGGTTCTAATAGTTTTCACATGGTTCTTCCCTCTTTAAAATGTATTGTTTATGGGTGAAAAATATCAAAAGTTTCTTTTGCTCAAGTTAGGGGGGCCCCAAAATCCTATTATGCTTCCCCTATTTTCAGAGGTTAATCGGGCCCTGGCTGGAATCCAAGTAACAAATTATTTGTCAGGGTGTTGTTTGTTGATATGGTGACTAATTTGCAGAGCCCGCTAATATAATTGTCAAATCAGTGCATTACAATAATTAAAATGCATCTTTTTGAAAATAAATTCAAGATAATTTAAATAAGTTCGATTATTAGTTAAAATGCTTATGTTTATCTCGTCCGTAATAGGAAGCACCCTTAGTACCAATATACCACTAAACTTTCTAAAATGATTTTTCTGATTACTTCAAATTCGGAGAAAGTTTGCTTAAAGAGGTAGAGTACTAAAAGCTAAAATTTGCAGAAAAATAGTGAGTTTTGCCAACGTTTACAAAAGCTCACCACGAGATAGTTGGATTGAAATCGAGTTTTATACGAATTTTTGAATTATTTATATTTAGCCATAGCCTAAATAGATTTGAATCGAAATTTCTAAACCTAGAATCATGCATTGAAACATGACGTTAACTACCACAAGAAAAAAGAATTCTGCCAAGTGGTGCAAGTTGACATCCATGTATTAGAACAAAATTTTAAGACCAGCATGCAATTTGTTAACAGAATTTAAATCGACGAATGTGCTTAAGATATTATTTTATCTCAAAGATTATAAATAAATTTTAAAAAAATAGATCATACTTTTGCTTCAGTGTTAATAAGCAAATCACTATTTTCCACGCATCCCCATTTCGTGACACCGATGCATCGAATACCATGAATCATTCGATCTTTAGTTGAGAGTAAATATTGTCTTTTTCTTACAGCGTCCCCAACTACTTTCACTAATCCATAATTCAGTCCTCCTGTCAACAACCATGCATTACCAGTCCATAAGGCCTACAATAAAAAGCATAATATTTATATAATTGATAACCTCCAGGTTTACCAGAATCAAGGGGAAACCGAAACAATTGGTGGTAAAGCTTCGAAAGGGATATTTTAAAACTCGCCAAAGCTTACATTTCAAATTTACGCTATTCAGAACAAAACTCGTTTTCAGAAATAAGGTTTATAAATAAAGTTGGAAAAGTTGAGAGATAAGTTTGCGATTATCCTATTAGAAATCTCAATAATGGCACCTTAATAGTGATGGAGGTGCTATGCCCAGGAAAAAAAATTCACAACGCAGTAGTTATTCGCAGTAGTAATTTCGACATAATCAAAAATGTTTGAATTAATCTTTCACTTGAGCATTAAAAATATTCAAATAGCGTTTTTACACTCTTTTATATAACTACTTTAAATTTAAATTTTTTTGTTTGGCATATATTGCGATTAAAAAAAACGTTTTTCAAAATGGTATGACATGATAGCTGTGCTAGCAATTTAAATGTTGTAAAACGTGTATTTATTCCAAAAAACAGTAATTTCGATATCTTTGCCTTTCTTCATTCGATTTTACGTTTTCATAAAATTCTTCTGNTTCCTATTTATTACAGTGCTAGCAATTTAAATGTTGTAAAACGTGTATTTATTCCAAAAAACAGTAATTTCGATATCTTTGCCTTTCTTCATTCGATTTTACGTTTTCATAAAATTCTTCTGTTTCGTCATCTTCTTTTTCTGGTACATCACCAGAAGCTGAAACTTCTTTTAATATTTCAGATTCTTTCCAATCAACACATACTCAAACATTGTCCACAGTAATATCCTCATAAATATAATTATTTTTGGATTTAATAAATTAGAAAATTCCTTCATATTTTATGAACAGATACGAAAGCTTATCAAAAATATCTTAACACTTCTATACTGGCCCATTACCCATGTAAACAATGTTTCTTTTACAACAAATATTTTAGAAGATTTTACATGACATAACAGTTGGCTCAATTTGAAAGATCATGCTAGAAGCTTTTAGAAATAATATTATTTTTACCCAGGCAAAGTTCGGATTGTCTATAATGAAGAGGAAATAAATAACTTCTTTTTAGATTCAATACCTTGTCTTGTTTCAGGGCTAAAGAGAATAGAAGGNCTCTAAGAGTGGAGTGAACTAGCCCTTGTATTCTCTTTAGCCCTGGTCTTGTTTACCCCTATCCCATTCATCGTGTAGTATTCGTCATTTTGTTTGGTTTCGTTGAGGTCAGCAGGCAATGTGGTTGCTGTCAGGGGGATTCAAACACTTTGCTTGAATAAATAATAATAATGAAAATGAAACGGAGCAGCTTATGTGTGACTTGAGTTTTGGATGCTGGTTAATGGTCAACGTGGAGAAACGCTTGATGAAACTTTCAATATTGTAGTTGTTGAAGATGATGTTATTGGTGGATCTGTGATAAGAAATTTTTTAAAACTTTAATTTATTATGATGATTGTAATATTAAATTTTTTGGCCTTATCGAAGAAATCTGCATTTAATTTAGGAATATATTGTGATAGAATCGGAATTTTGAGGTCTTTTTGAGTATTTGCATTTCTGATGAACCATCTGGAACAGGTTATTTTTCTTAGTATTTTGTTTCGGCATTGGTTGAGCTTTTGCATGAAGTATTCCGGTATGGTTGTCCAGGCAGGTAAGGCATATGTGAGAAATGGTCTGATCATCGATGCATAGAGCAGATTTCTTTGTTTTAATGACATATTCTGGTTGTAGATGAGTGGTTGTATTATTATTGTTGCTGTATTTGCTTTATCTATTATATTTTTGATATAGTCGGTCTATGCTATTTATTATATTAGTTTGCCATTTATTATGAGGCCGAGGTAGTTTGCTTTTTTACTACGTGTACTTGAATATTGAACATTTTTCGTTTTTAAATTCAATACCAGCAATTTTGAAATCATTCTATTGAATTGCAATATTTATATAAGAATGCTTTTTTAATTATAATGGTATTGAAAAAAAGACATCAGCTTTTAACTTCTTGCGATTATTTTGATCGATGCAGATTAAAAAAATGGACATTTTCTTAAAATTCAAGCATTATCTCCCAAATTGTGCCAACAGTTTTGTCATATAAAATATTTTGAAACATTTTTTCTGAGAGAAAAATTGTGTACATAGAAATAGTATAGAAGTATTTCTGCTATTTTAATCAAACCCTAAAAAGAATTATCTTCATGAACTCAACTTGCACATGAAAGGATTAAATTGCACTTCACCCTAATTGTCAGAAAATGTCTGTGAACTATTTTTAAATTAATTTTCATCCATTAAAAATTTCTCATCTCCTGACGCTTATAAGACTGCAATGAAAACAATGTGTAAAAGGATTCAACTATTCTGTTACGTCAATATTTATTTAAACTTATTTTTGACTACAGAAAACATCAAGCTATGCGTGAATCAATCAGAAAGAAACAAAACTATATCAGTAAATTTAATGAGATTTAATATACTTATAATGAGATTTATTTTCCTAATCCCAAGAAAAAAAATAGTAATTAAAAACATCTAGTTCTTGAGCCTTCTGGTTAGTCAAGTAGTAATCTAATAATTATTAGTTAGTTATGTGATAAGGCTTCAACCAAACCAATTTCTATATTTCTAAAAATTAAGAAAAGAAAATTGGTTGTACATTACAAAAAGATACAGTTTTAAAAAGTAGCACAAATAAAATGTACATTTATAATTAACATGGATAAATTTTTTTTCCATCTAACCTTTCCCGGCACTCCCTAAAAAGGAGCTATTTGGAATAAAACTGATATTTGGAAAGTTTTAGTTCAAGGAAATAATATTTAAACCCTGCCATCAATCGTAAGAATTCATTGAAGGAGGGGATTTTTTCAAAAAATTTTGCCAATTTTTGCCTTGAAGCCTGAACGAATGGTTGTAAAAACACAAATCTTGTCTCATTTTATGGATAATTCTTTTAACTTTATCTTTTGTAATTAAGACTTTGTAATGAAATTTGCATTTTAATTGTTATTAAAAAATCCAATGAACGATTTTCTTGCTTTATATATTGATTAATCCAGCGTCCGCAGTTAATCCGTGTGAGGGAACAATATTCGTTAACACTCTTTTTGTTAACCTCTTCTATTAACCTCTTTTTGCTTTAACTCTCTGACCAAAGTGTACTACCAATACCTCCTAAAAGAAAGAAGACTTCACCACTGATCAATTTAGTAGACCGACGTAACGAACATAAACTACGCAGTGGATGAAAAATAAGACACTGAGATCGGGTTACTAAGCTATGCAGTGGTTGTAAATACAAAAAAGATGCCATTACCATATCTTCCAACTTTTACGCATTTGGCGTAAAATTTTATTTTTATATTTAAAGTTGTAGTAGATATATATTTTCTTTACTTTTATTAACTTAATTTTTAAATGATTTTGATCACCACTATTCTTAAAAGAATTAAGCATATATACTAATATGTGTTACTATCATGGTCATCATCTTAAGCTTTTGCAAATACGACGTATTTTGTTGCTTAAAATTGAAATTTTAATTCCATTTCAATACCACTGGGAAAAATCATAATGGAAGGGATTAAAAGTTGGCAGGTATGCATTACGTTTTGACTACTAAAGAATCAAATTTCTTGCTTGTGGTAACCCGTGCGGAGGCCTTCCCTAGGACGTATTGGTTCTACTCGAACTATTGCAAAGAGGGGTCAACGTCATAGGTGTCCTAGGGGTAAGTATTCCCTGGAATCCCATGCTCACAGTGGGCCTAATCTCCTCTCTACTTCTAATTCCGATTTTCTTATTGAAAGTGATATTAAACGTGATATAGAAGGGGAGACTTGTTGAACGTACAATGGACGCGTAGTAAACATATTATTGATGGCATAATTTGCCTACTGCAGCCCCATTTCTTCACTAACCCCCCTCTTCTCTATTTCTTAACTAGGTTTTCATCTTATTGAAAGGGATTTTTTTTCACCTTTAATAGCATAGTTTTTACATCAATTAAAAATTTATAGATTATATTTAATTATTATATTTATTTTTTAACATAATTAGCAATATTTTTTGAAAAAGAAATGAATTTTTTTTTTATCTTGAATAACTATTTTTAATTTTTGTGTTGAAGTTTCGGTTAAATTGACCAAACAGGATTTGATTCAGTGTATGGATTAACTTTAAATTTACTGGATTTAATTAAATATGATTAAACCTTATAAATTTTTAACATGCAATTGCAATAGTATGATAAATGTAATATTTTCAGAAAATAGTTCAACAGTTCAGTTAACAAAACCTTCGAAAAATCTAACAGTTGAAGATAGACTTTAGGTCATAAGGGATCGTAAGGTTGTTATCGTAAGGTTGTAAGGGTTGTAAGGGATCGTAAGGATCGTAAGGTTGTAAGGGATCGTTAAATTGATTGGATTCAATTAAATATGATTAAACCTTATACATTTTTAACATGCAATTGCAATAGTATGATAAATGTAATATTTTCAGAAAATAGTTCAACAGTTCAGTTAACAAAACCTTCAAAAAATCTAACAGTTGAAGATAGACTTTAAGTCATAAGGGATCGTAAGGTCGTCTGTTGTCCATTTATACCTGAAATTTGTATAAACAGCTTAAAATTAAGGCTGTTTAACTCCTGAGATATAAAAATTTCAAATAATTATGCACTTTACAAAATGGACGAACGAAGTATTTACTTTTACTAAAGTATCACCAAATGATTCTTTCCATTCTTGATCGTCAACAAAAGATGCTGTATTTCCAATAACTGATACAATAAATTGAGGAGGCTTTGGTTCATTCATTTTCCAATAATCTTGCATTAAAGTCACCAAAGATTCCAAACAATTATCATCTGACAACCTGATGTACTACAGAAAGAAAAATAATTCAGAAATGCATAAAAATGTGTAACTCTTAACACGTTGAATGCCACGATAATTTTACATGGCTTGCCCGCCTGGCCAAATGGTAAATAACCACAAACTAAATTTGCAAATATTAGACAGATTTTGCTAGTTGTTGAAATGGTTTAGCATGACATATTTGAAAAAAGTGTTGAATTATATAAGTCTACGAATTATTTAGAAATAGTGGTGGATAAAAATCTACTAAATTGAATTCAGTAAACTAAGAATCACAATTAATAAACTACCGCTTGAAAATATTTATTCGCTGTCCGGAGCAAGTTGGCATCTCTGTGTATATAAATAAAACTATTTTTGTGTGTTCTATATTGCATTAATTTCTTCAAACCATTTTAGTAACGATAATAATTTTTAAAAAAAAAAAAAAATTTACTCGAATTAAGTGCTTCTAATAATCTTGGCTTCGCCGGATTCCTCCATGGCATTCAACGTGTTAATAACAAAAAAGTCAGCACCTCTAGTTATATAAACTGCTTTCATGTCTAAATCCTATTATAAAAGCAACAGAAGTGAAAACAAACACTATACAATAATACTGGGGAAAAATTCTATTTTGATTTCCATTGAGTTATATTTTTGTACGGATATTAAATTGGTTAACATAGCTGATTTTAAAGCTGCATTCAGTTTTCCTATGTAAGTAACACAGTTAAGCAATTTACTAAGCAGGAATTTTAAGACTCTCGTAAGTAAATACTAAGTGACCCCATTTCTCTGGTACGTAGGGAGTGGTTGAAAAAAGGTGATAATGCATTTCTTAATAATAATAGGTGATAATGCATGAAATACTTTAATTTGAATATTTAGATTGGTAGTAAATGTTATGATTTCATATTCTGTTTTTTTGCATACAAGCAATTTAAATACATATAAAAAACTATTAATTATGCTGCGAAGTTTTTAAGTGCAGGCAAAATGAAACAAACTAAGTTTAACTTAAAATGTTCTTCGGCTACCGCGTTAAATATTCGTGGAAGCTAATACTTCTGGGTTGGCAGCTATGTAAATTGTTTGTAAGTTTTTACCAAATTGGAGACTTTATGCTGTAAGTGCTGTAACCTTACATATAATAATTATTGATTCTTTTTATGCTATCAGAAATTTATAAGCAACAAAAAATATCCAATTCTTTTATTAACTTTTCTTAATTAGCTTTTTTTGTGATTTTCTTGTTAACTTTTTTTCGAAATAGATAAAAGAAAAGGAAAGGAAAGAAATTCGCATTAAGAAAAAGCGCTCTTGTTAACTTTTTTTGTGCTGAAGCAAAAATATAATAAGTCTACTTTCTAAGTGTTTTTATTCTATCAGAAATTAATAAGCAAATTTAAAAAAAATCTATTTCATGTTTTTGTAAGCACATATCGTGCTCACAGAAATTGATAATTTAGCGAATAAAAATTGAAAGAATGGAGTCATAGTAATCGATATAATAGTAAATGAAAGAATTCTTAAAGAAAGTATTTGAATTGATAATCCACAGAAAGATGAAAGATAAAGAAAAGATGAAAAATTGCATAAAAAAGAAGGAAGTAAAATTCACAGTTTACTGCTTTCTAGCTAAGAAACCAGACATTTTCTCGTCAATTTTCAAAATTAGTTACAAAGTTTGTCGAGAATGGCGCTGCACACTGTCGAAAATTTTAAAAAAATCAATGTTTTTTTGCTGCATGAGAGATCAATCAAGTTAAAAAGTTTAGTATACCTGAATTTAGTTTAGTTTTCAGAGTTTCGCTAATTGTGATAATTTTTAAAACATAATTTCACAGCTTTTCTTACCAGACCTCTATCTCCTTATTTTATTATATTTATTTTTATCACCGACATGGAACAGAATCCCAACTGTGAGTTTACAACCACCGATGTTCAACTCTGTTGCCTTGTTATTTTGAACCTACCCCAGAAGACAACGAAACTTCCGGATGAAGCATTGGGACAAACTAAGCTTCGTAGAACACTTTTTGAGGGAGCCCAGCGTCAAGGGGATTCTAACCCATGATCCGTCCAACATTGAGGACATTTTACGCCAGAACTATTGTCTGTGTGATCCAGGAGACCAAGATTCAAAACTAAGGTCACCACATTGGAAGACGAGCGCTCTGAAATGTTGAAACTTGCTCAGAATAAATCTAGTTTCCTAAGCAAAACGCAGCAACTTATTATTACTTTTCTTGAAACTATTAGTATAAACTTACTTTAGCAGGTTTTAGAAGACCAAGTCCATCCATTTGAAATTCTATTTTTCCATAAGCATTGGTTGGATAACTTTTAATTCTTGGACCCTCATTAGTTGTTAAAGTTTTTCTTTTATCAAAACTTCCAGGCAACACACTTTCAAAAACAGCATTTGATTTGTGTTCTTTAAAAGTACCACCACATATACAGTTCCTGCATAATAAATAATATTATTTAATTTATTTATATCATTCGAAAAGAACATTTTTTGTAATAAATAAATAAATATAAAATAATAACACGTTTTCTTTATTCTGGAAAAAATGTTAAGTATTCGCAGTATAAGAGTGTAGTGACATTTTCAGGGTTATTTATAAATCAGGAAAATTAACATAAATTGGCAATCTGTGCAAGTTTAGTCTAAATAATTGTCTTCCCTTTCACTTTTATTTTAACATGACCAATCTAGGGTAAACTAACCAGTGAAGGAACACTTAAGCCTCGCTTGCCTTTTAAAAAATCGCATTAATTTCAAAATTCATAATTTTAGTTACATGAAAGTGTCAACATATTTGCTACTAATTGCAAATTATGTAAAAAAAAGTGTAGAGAACTTACATAATATTGTTTTAAAGTTTTGGAGGTTCAAATAACAAGTTGTAAGAAGACCAAGTGAAGGAACAGCCCTTACCAGTGAATGAATACCCAGTAAAGGAACATTTAATTTTGGTTATTTTTTAATGCTCTTTATGAATTTATAAGCCATACAAATATTTAAAAACAGACCTATTCTTGAAATTATAACATATAAGTACTTGGAAAATGTTAACTTTTTTTTGTAATCATGAATTGAAAATTAAAGTGTCAACATATTAACACATACTGTTCATTCACTGGGAAATCTATGCCCAGTAAAGGAACATGCCTGTTCCCTCACTGGTTAGAAGTTGTTTTTCGTATTTTTAACATACTTTTGATGCGGAACATCACTAAAGGTACAAGAAAATTAAAGTTTATCTTTTATTTTCATTAACTGAGAAAAAAACCCAGTAAAGGAACACTTGTTCCTTCACTGGTTTTTCATCGTTTGGTGATCCAGTGAAGGAACATGCCTGTTCCTTCACTGGTTAGAAGTTGTTTTTTGTCTTTTAAACAGAATTTTGATGTATAATATGACTAAAAGTACAAGAAAATTAAAAAATTTCTTTTATTTTCATTAACTGGGAGAAAAACCCAGTAAAGGAACACTTGTTCCTTCACTGGTTTTTCATCGTTTGGTGATCCAGTGAATAAACACCCCCTTATCTCAGTACTTTATTATGCTATGATGCTTAAAAAAAATAAAACGTAACTTCAATAACTATATTTTGAATTCTCTTTTTCACAGTGAGAAAAATAAAACTATTACATGCAATTAATTCCACTTCAAAGATATCAATACAAACACTCATCTTATAATTTTTTCAAAGAAACAAGGTGTTGCAGAGATAATAACAAATTCAAAAATTTTTCCAGAGAAGTCTATTGGACCAGGTAATCCAAAACATTGCTAGATGACTTCCTATTGTTTGACGGTAAGCTATTGTTACCAATCAATCTAAAGAAAAACTTTCAAATTCTTATTTTTAATCAATATATATGAAATGTTCCTTCACTGGGTAGTGTTCCTTCACTGGTTGGTTTACCCTATATTAGTTTTGCATGATTTTGATTTCAAATTAAATAAAATAAGGGGAAAAACCATTAGCTCATCCTTCTTATAAATCTGTACATTAAATGATTCAGATAATACTTATTTTTCTCAGCCTTTCAGAAAATGTAATTTTCATCAAATGTTTCATAATATTGTTCGAAACTTTAATTTCACTTTTATTTTTGAAATCCGGATTAATTATGTCCATGTATATTTCCCTTTGATTGCAAATATTTATTAGTCGATATAAAGTTGTAAGATAATTTCGATTTTTCGAAGGTGCTGACCACTTATCACTTTTATATTAATCATTTTTATATCACTTATCAATTTTATATCAACACACACTTATAGAAACCCTGGATAATAGAGGGATTAGTTTTTAGTATTGATTTCGCGATGACAAGATAATGCTGCTAATAATATATTTTTTCCCAATGGCAACCTGATTTGACGTTACGTCAATTCATGCGTTTTAGGGCGTATTTGTTTGCCACTCTTTCAGGAGCACCATATTAGGCGGGCCAACGTTTCAACGCACTAGAGCTGCACAATGGGCTATTGGCGACGGTCTGGAAAACATCCCTGAGGATGATCTGAAGACAAGCCATCATAATTTTGATCCTCTTCAGGGGGAATGGCACCCTCACTTCGGTAGCCCAATGACCTGCACGCGAAGTCGAGCACTTTACGGTAGAACAGTTTAACGAGGACCAATACCACACACTCTCGGTCCCTATGTAGATTGATCCAAGCTGTCACCCACCCACACACTGACCGCAGCCAGTGATGCTTGACTTCGGTGATCTGCTGGGAACCATGTCTTAACGATCAGTCCACTGCGGGACTGATGATAAATATGTTTAGAACTTTCCCCCTCCCTCATCTCCATTTTAATTACAGTGTTTTCCGTCAAGAGGAAAAGGTCTCATAACCTCTTTGAAAGGGGGAGTCATTATGCATTCTCAAGGTGGTGACTCTTAGGGTAAAAAAGATGAAACTGGAAGCCAAACTAGTTATTTAGTAGTTTTTTGTCTTAGTAATAGTAGTTTGAGAGATATGAATGATATTTATAAGTACAAAAGGAAATTTTACAGCGACCAAGGCCTATAGGCCCATTCGCCGAATACAGTGGAACAACAATTTTTAATTTGACAGCAATTATATAGAAATAAAATGTTAAAAATTTTACAGTAACAGCGATGGCAACAAGCCTCGAAAACATTGAAACACATCAGAAAGAAGGTCAACGGACCCTTATAAATTTAACATATCGTTCAACAATTTAACATAAAAACAAATTAAAACAATATTGATCGTGCTTGGTGTTGTACCGTTCAGACCAACAGACCCTTATACTAACGAAATGTTTGTAACATCACGAACTCATTTTTACTTACTAGATACTACAGTTGAATAAAGGTATCAATAGGATCGAATTGAGAGCTAGAGCTAGTTGCTGGGTAAAAGGAAATAGTTAAGAATTACACACAAGATAAAAGTACACATTAGTACTAGCCTGTCCTAAAGGACATAAAATTTGAATAAATCAGTAAAATGAAAATTTTACAAACGTTACAATTTTAAAACATTATGTTTAAAAATAAAAATCGACTGTACAAAGCCGTTTACATGCATAAAATTTCAAGATATAAAATTATTTGTGGATAAAAGATAGGATAAAGATGTAAAAAGACAAAAT